AATGGTGAATTATAAATTGAAGTTCTTAGTGAAATACAAATTTGAAATTTTAGATGGATAGGGAAAAATCCTAAAAAGTATTTTAGAATTGAGTTTTATCCAAACCATGAAATGAAATTAGTTCATGTACACCTGCATGTGGTTTTAATTTGATATATTATATAAAAGACTTAAGAAAACAACCATCCAGCAAACCTAATAGGTATCGGATCACTATAAATGACAATCATGCACACAAACAACACAAAATTGTATGGTACAATGGTTTCAACAAAGATACAAACCAAAGCACTCAAATTAATTCAGAAATTTAACAAGATCATGTTTTTCTGCAGTTTATGATATTGCTATATGAAATCTACTTGGAAGTACATCTGCCCATATTAAAGTGATAAAAAGCATGATGACTATATCAGTATATTAAATTTTTGTTTCCCTGTGAAGAAGGTCTTAAACTTTGAGACATTTAGATGCTAATCTGGTGACAGCATTTACTATTTTTTTTTATAAAGCTATATATTTCACATTGACATATTCTGATAGGGTTCATCTACCCTTCAACTCGTTTAATGGTCCATTGGTTAACATTAAGTTTTTCTGATAAGTTCAGGTTCTCGGATGTTACAATTTGCGTTTCCTAAGGCATGGACAGAAGTTGTGTCCTTGGATTGATTGATTGATTGTTGGTTGCGTAAGTCCAGTGGTTGTGCCCTTGGACATATTTTTTGAAATAATGAGCAAATATATTTACAGTATAGGGGTAAGTTCAATATAATGACGAAAAGGACATTAATTTCTCCACATTCATAGTGGATCAAACAAAAATCCATTTGAGTGACAATATCTTCATGTTGCAGCCAACAAATTTGCCTCATATTTTGCTTCTGAAGTTGAAGCATCCAAATGTTTAATATTGGATCCTGATGTCAAGCAATTCAGACAAAGAAGAACTAGGCTATATAGAAACCACTTCACCACAAAGCACTAACCAATGCAATGAAGAAGTTGCTGACTTAGGACTACTCAATCCTCCCCAATTTCATCTCAGTCAGTGGAATAGATAGAAGAATGGAAAGTTAAAGTTCACAAAATGCACTTATAAGATTAGTATTACAGACAGTAAACAGAAATCAAGAGTTTCTGAAATATATTCTCCAAGCAATTTATCTGTTGATATATAAATCACGCTTTCTTACACAATCATATGATCAGCTGTACTATGGAGTTGGTGACATACGTTAAAGTCAATATGTTATATTAATCGATGCCCACATTAGCATGAAGTGAATTTTACTTTCAACAACCATAGGTCGTCTTTTTTTTCCTACAAATGAGTCTTAAATGTGCAAGATTGTCATGTTTTTTCCAACTATGAAGGCACTGATGACATCCCATCAATTTATTATGCCTGTCAATGATAGTAGAGGGTATTATGTTTTCAATTCTGAGCATCCATTCCTCTGTTTGTCCATCTGTCCTGTAGTTGGTTAAAGTTTTGGTTTAAGGACTGTTCAAAGTTTTTGTTTGACAGTCTATTGTCACATCAACTGGAAACTTAGTACACATGTTTATTATGAAATGATCTGTTTAATATATACAATGTAGATCCAAAATAAGGGTTTTCAACCAGATTTCACAGTCCACTGAATTTGGAAATTAATAGGTTAAAGTTTTGGTTAAATGAAGTTTGTGTTCTTATCAGCTTGAAACCTAGTGTGCAAGTTCATTTTGAAATGTACTGTTTATAAATAAGAAGATGTGGTATGATTGCCAATGGGACAACTCTCCACAACAGACCAAATGACACAGAAATTAACAACTATAGGTCACTGTACGGCCTTCAACAATGAGTAAAATCCAAACCGCATAGTCAGCTATAAAAGGCCCCGTAATGATAACTGTAAAACAATTCAAACGAGAAAAGTAATGGCCTGATTTATGTACAAAATAATGAACAAAAAACAAATATGATGTACAGCAACAAACGACAACCACTGAATTACAGGCTCCTGACTTGGGACAGGCACATACAGAATGTGGCGGGGTTAAACTAGTTTGAATGTGCCAACCCTCCCCTAACCTGGGACAGTGGTGTAACAGTAAACATAAGAACAAACTATAAAAATCAGTGGAAAAGGGCTTAACTCATCAGATGGATACAAAGCAGAAATACATCTAACAAAAACACAGAGTGGTAGTGGCAGGGTACTTATACATCCCCACAACAAAAAGACTCTTAAGTACAGATCTGAGAGTACTCGCTATTACTGACAGCTAGTTCAGAGCCAATAACAACTAATAAAAAAAATCATGCTTCTAAGACTAAACTATCAATCAGTACACATCAAACATCCAAAGGATTTAGTGTAAAGACGTCATTAACAGTCAGAGAAAAACATGACCTTGTGCAATGCCAACATACAGGTATTGACAGATTGTAGATCCATTAATGTGCATACGTATATAAAAGTAATATTTAGTTTGATTTTTATTTGCTGATAACAAAATCAATATTAATACCAATAAAAACAATATTCAAAGATCTAATTATAGTGTTGAATTGATAACCTTTTAGAATAAGTTCATCCATAGGATCCATAAGTTTACCCGGATCGTATCTAAGTTTCAGGGCTCAGTAAAAAACATCTTCATGAAAATAAGAATGTGCTATCCCTTTAAAAATAAGTTTTCTACAGGAACAAACAAACTTCCAAACCAAATCTTTATATCTATGAACAAATTTAGTAAAGGTTTTAAGTAATTTGTGGTAACGAAATTCCTGACTTAATAATTTTCAAGTTACACATAAATTACGTTCATTGAGTATGTATATGCAAAATTAGGGTCTTGACACAAATTTCTTGATTCTCTGAACATGGAAATGTATAGAGTTAGTACGAAATGATGTCCTATGGACACAAACTCTTTTTTGACAAAACAAAAAGTCTCATACAAATGTCAAGATCTGCAAATTGTTCGACTAAGTCTTTTCCAAAAGAGAGGGGGAAAGATACCAAATGGACATTCAAACTCATAAGTCGAAAATAAACTGACTACGTCATGGCTAAAAACGATAAAAGACAAACAGACAAACAGCAGTACACAAAACACATAGAAAACTTAAGACTGAGCAACACGAACCCCACCAAAAACTGATGGTGATAGGTTATATTTAAGCCAAGGTAAAGTCTCAAACTATAAATATCTGAAGGGGTATCATATGGAAGTTCAAAAATATGTTTTACTGTCTGTTTTTTTAAGATTATTTATTTCACTGATATTTTGATCAGTGGTATTTCATAATATTGTACAACTACAACAATAATACACAATTGTTAGAATATTTCCATTTGTGTACAATTTCTTTTTTTCTAGTAGGAGTGTTTTTTTTATTCTTGACAAAAAACTTAGACTTGTACTGAGTTTGTAGCATATGAGTCAATATGGACATATAGAATATTTTCCTCATTAGCATCGCTAATATTTGAATCCCCAACAGTCAAATTAAGAACATCTTCTGTACATGCTAATTTATGTCTAGAACCAATAACAATAGATGTAGTTTCAGTAGGATTGATATACATTTTATAACGCCATTCTTTTTTTTTTCTAAATCGCCCACAATGATATCTTGTATGGTATGAAGACTGCAACTCATGCTATGAATGGTAGAATCATCTGCATACAAGTCTGAATGAGATGCATTTATATATAACAGGCAACTCACAAAAAGACAAAAGACAAAATATTAATGAGAACATCAGATTCAGCATAAACACGTCATAAGCAGCTTGAGAAAATGCATGAATTCATGCAATGCCAAAATATAGGTATTTGTGGGATGTAGGACCATATGTGTTCATTACTGGATAGCAATTTTACACCATTCAAGAAAAAATAATGTTAGTACCGATTAAGAAAATATTGTAAGATCTTGCTACAATATAAATTGATAGCCTTTTAAGAATAAGTTTATTGGAAGCACATGAATCTTATCACTACGGAATGGAAGTGTTTAATGTCATTGCGAACCAATGATACTAGTATAGTCTCATTAGAATAGGATGTGATTACCGTTTGTAAGATGTCTACAGGTAATTTCGAAGCCAAATATTTGTATCTATGAAAGAATCAGTTTATTAATCTGCAACTCTTTGAAAACTAGATTCTTCTACAGGGCATAAAGTTGTACACCTGTCATATTGTTTTTTTTTATCAGAGTGATGTCGACTTTTCATACTAAACTTTTCCATACTAAAATATGGACTAAACCACTTCTGCTTATATTATTTGCAGTTGGAAACGACAGGTGACAAACGTCTTCCGTAGAATACTGGAAAATTAAAAAATATATATCCTTTTTCATTTCGTCCATTTCTACATCGGGCATTGTTGTGAATATTATCTAGTATAACTGGGTTGATTGCAAATTAAGAGCGGCAGTTTCCTTTCAAATTTGTTGCCAATTTTATCAAGGGTTTTATTTTAAGTTATACGCATAAATCGGCATGATCCATAACTTACATCACATAAATAGTAGCAAAACGATCCTAGTTATAATTATATGGTCGAAGGCAGATTTAATTAATCATTTACTTCTTAAATTTTTATATTCTCAACTCTATTGAGCTTTAATGGTTTGTATATAAGGTGTTCAATAGCGCTAAACTTGATGGACATCTAGAAGCCAGTAGTTGATCGACCGATAACTTTGAATTTCGACCAATTTGAAGGGCAATGTTGGGGAAAGAACATTGTGAGGAAAGTTATGTGGTTGTGTTTAGATATACCTGATGCTTTATTTAATCTTCGAAAATTTATTGTTGACGGATTTGTGATACCCGGTTGATTTAGAGTTCAACATATGCATCGATACTTGTCTATTACGGAAGACTACATGATATCTAGATGTCTTTAGGTATTTGAGTGTCGTTTAATTGATGACATATCATCATATATCCAACATCTCTTTTTATACGAAATTAAACATAAAGAAGAAAGACCACAAGACACTTTATTGATACAAAATCATCTTTAACAGGCAACACATGAGCTCATGCAACATTTAGTAAAACGATGATGATATAAAAGTGCAACAAATTCTATATTAGATGGCAATGTTTTTCGTAGACTGAGAACTAAACATATACCAAGTTGATGACCATCATTTGATCGAAATTAAAACTATTATCAAAAAAGTAGTTACACAGTTTGCAAGTTCCTTTAATACTTGAGGACCTCAAATAAATTGAATAACAAATTATAATATAATAAATATAAATTATAAACATGAAATTCTTTTTTTATTCAGCATAATGTCTATATCATTCGTTTCAACTGCCTTCTTATAACGCAAGTTTTAGATCAATTATATTAGATACTAGTATTATAGTTATTACAGACAATACATCTGTGCTGATATGTAAACTCATTGACGTTGACAATTTATGTGAATTAAATGTTCACTAATGTTAAAACCTTCCGAAACACTTAGCAAAAAACATAGGTCTTAGTAAGATTTGGGACAACTTTTTGGGATATTGGTTTTTAATGCATTTTAACATAATGATTTAGTGTCAAAGTATTTAAATGCGAGCGCCACTGGTATGACTTGTGTAGACAAAACGCGCGTCTGGAGTACTAAATTACAAAAACCTAGTATGTGTTATTAGTTACTATACATTCACCAAAAATCTAAGATTACTTCAATTGAGAAATAACGTTACCATTTCGACTGCTTCAATCAGACCGTTTGTCTCTCTACAAATGGAAACACACTTGAATTTTGAGAAGGTCTTTTTATAGAATATATCATATGGTCTGGGTTTCTGCTTTTTTTACGGTGAGCTTACAATGCAACTAAACAGTATCAGTTATGTAGCATGGTTTTCTATAGGTATTTTTAAGTAGTCAAAATCTTCACGCTATATAAGAGTATAGAAAATTAAAATACGAAATGAAACAGCCGCTTGATATCAGGTTCCTTATATTGACCAACCAAAATTTTAAAAAAGTGTATAGTTATACCAGCATATTTATTAAAATAAATGAAACTGTTTGCTAATTTTACATTATCAAAGTACAAAACACTGGGGGCTTTGTTCTTCATTTATGCCGTGAAAGATTGAAACAAATACTTACAAAAATTTTCACTGATTTCTTTGAAATATGAAAATAGATCGAATAGTTATACTTAAAGTGGGAGACAATAGCTAGGCTCTGGGTGCATCAAGAATAGATTGTTCCTAGTCTTTTCAACCAAGTAAAATACATATACAAGTTAGAAAAATGAACACATATAGATATGCAGATGCGGTAAAAATGAAATTAAAAAAACTTTAAATTGTCTCATCAAACAGATATATCATCACCCATTGAGGAATACGCTCCATTCTGATCAATACCTCTGATGAAGAGGAACAGATTGAGGTTTGAATTACTTTTCAGTTTCTCAGTAAGCTGTATATTGAGAAAATCATTTGTAGTTTCCTGCCACTGTATGACATCAGCACCGCCTTGTGTTGTTCCTGCAGATACTTCATATACCAGACTCTCAGGGTTTGAAAAACAGTCCGACCAACTGATAGTTATCTCGTCATCTTTCTTTACCGTTGTTACTCTGGATCCTTCTGTAGCAATGATAAAATGAAATTAATTGAATATTGAGAGCCATATCAGAATCCCAGAATAAAGCAACTGTTGTTGTTGAGGAAATTTGGTAAAAATGATGTTTTGGCGGAAGGTGTGAAGAAAAAACTAAATATAAATCAAAAAAGAAAATGTATCTGAAGTTAACAAACATAACTGAACTACAAATGCCATGAAACGAAAGCAACATATGACTAGAGCAAAGAATGAAAAAAGAATAATCACCAATAGATTTATAGTCACAATGACATTAAAATGAAAATTTACTAGTCCTTAATAAATTTGGTACAGTAAATGTCAAATACTAACTATATTAGATGACATACTGTTATTGCAATTTTTCAACTTTAGAATTCATAGCTAACACATAGCAGCAACGAATAATACTTCATCAGTATATCTAAAAAATCAAATATAAGACATAACGAGTTGTACTGCAGTAGTTAGTGTGATCTTTATTCATTTTACAACGTAAATATCCTTTCTCCACGGAGTCTGATATTTTTTACCAATTAGATCGACAACACGAATATTGCCACCTATCTAATCTATTACAAAACAACAACCAAGTCTGTACATATTCACAACGAAACAGACATATACATACATACTTGTAGGAATATTGAACTGTGAACACAACTAATCTGGTCTAGGTCCAAAAAAAAATAAATGGCTGAGCCCAAGAGTGTATTTCACTTTTTAAGGCGCCGATTATAAGTTTTTTTTTAATTCTTCAAGCCTTCTAACAAACATGTTGCTGTATAAGCTAACTATATCATATTTTCTTGGAAATTACAAAGTTATATTTCAAAGATGTGTCTTATCTATCATTTCATCTACTGGCCAGGTGGTAACATATTAGATGAAACTATCATATACTGTCCAACAATGAAAGTTATTACCTTTGGGCTTTTAGTTATCGAAATATAAAAACAAGAGGCTGTCAGATTGACAGCAAACCGGATTTTCCTGCATGAAAATGACATTTGTAAATCTGGACCCCCAAACAGGATCAAGTAAAAAATAAATGAATTTTTGTAGGGTTCAGAACTGGAAAGGCCAAAATTAATCTAAGTATTACTTTTCGCTACTTAATGGTCTACAACTCAAAAACGATAAAAGTTAAAATCATGAAATTCGAACTTGACCTTCATTTAGTCACATGAAACAACATATTCAAGTTATTGCACGGACAACGCTCTAAGTATCACTTTTTGCTACTTAAGGGTCTACCACTCTACAACGATAAATGCTAAAATCGTGAAAATCGAACTTGACCTTCATTTAGTCACAGGAAACAACATATATAATTTGAAAAGATTTCGTCAAAGCGTTTTCAAGTTATTCACGCCATCACGTGTTGGTTGACCGTTCTGGAATATCTGTTTCACAGATGACGACTGATATGTTTCAATTGTTGTAACCACAATCCATCTTTTCCTCGAATGTGACCTACATAATCAGACTTATCACCGGGTTTGTACATTCTTGAGCAACACGACGGTTGGCACATGTGGAAAAGGATCTAATTACCCTTCCGGAACACCTGAGATCACCCTAATTTTGTTCCACTTGCTTGACTTTAAAGTGTTTTTCTTCAAGATTGTTAATTTTTCAATGTCATGGCTTAACCATTTATTGTAAATGGTATTGTGCTAATAAATATTGTCTGTTGTCTATTGTCTATACATGGATGAAAGAAGGTGTACGTACCTACAACCTCTGGAGTTGATGTGTCAACCGTAATGTTTGTGTAAACTTTATTACTCCTGATGTACATAGAACCAGTAGCAGCAACACTTGCGGAATAAACTGAAGCAGGTAAATCTAGCCCGGCCATCACCATATAAGAAACTTGTTTATTGATGTCAAGTACAGAATTCTTTAAATGTATTGTTTCTCCGTCAAATTGTACCTATATATAAGACAGTACAATAGCAGTCACATTAAATTATTCTGAATTTGATTAAATTTTACAGAAGATTGATTTATTTATTTTTCACTGTAAATTCAAAAAACGTTTATATATAAAAAAAAAAGCCTTAACGTATATACAGAAGTATACAGATTTTGCAAAGATTTAAAGATATTTACGAAAAAGATGAAATTATATCGTGTAGAAAGACAAATCTTTGCGTCGAAACAAATGACCTTCATCAGTGCCAGTCCTATTCCACAATGAAAGATCTAAAACAAACGTGATAGAAACATCCATTAAATATATATTTTCTGGCTAAAGCATTGTTTCCGCGAAAACATAACATTAAAGTTGATAGCAATTTTATTACCAAATTTAAAGAATATTAAAATGGAATCTTCGACTTAAATGGTATGTAGCAATGGTATAAATATGGTATCTATGATGATTGTATCTATGATGTGTTTAATGGATAACGACCACATGTAATAAAAGAACCATGCATGTAATATTATTAACGTTGCTGCAACTTATATATATATATGGTTCGTCGATTTTCGATTTAGTAGCATAAGCTTTTATCCTGGAATAGAGCATTAGAAAGTTTCTGTATTTAAGACGTAATTCATCAACAAAAATGAATGTCAGGTTTATATAATACCAGAATTGTCAGTTAAATCTGAAAAATTTGTGTAAGGAAACAATTATGTTTTAGAGTGAACAAGGCAGCAATCCTTATCTTTTTATTAAACTTTACACAATGTACCCCACAAGAAAAAATCGTCACCCAATTTCATCGATTTTATCAGCAATTGAACTTTTAACGATTTAAAAAAAATATTAATCAACCAAGTTTATTTTTTATCAAATCGTACTATATATTTATTCTTTTAACCTTCTATGACATCTAAAAACTGAATTTGATCATTTTACTAATTTGTGGAAATACAATGTGATAAAAATGGCCTTATTTTTTTTTGGTCTGATATCTAGTTTAAAAAGGGTCGGTATTGTAAGTCCTGATTGGTCTAAACTCAATTAACGCGGACCTTTACATAATGTAATATATTGACACAAAACGTAATACGAGTCAAATTCGTGCATCCTCTCCGCTTTGTCCTTACATACGAATGATACTTACGACAAAGGACATAATACCATACTGATCAGTGAATCCTGACCACTTCATCCTAACGGATGTTTTATCTTGTTGATAATAGTCTCCTGAACTATATTCAGTGAGTGATTGAGGAATGATTGTTATCACAGCATTTTCATTTGAGGGAGGAATTTCAGAGATTGTAACACCATCGGATGTAGCAGTAGAATATAAGCCTGCATTATTATGACATCTAACAGTATTATATACTGTTTTTTGTGATAGAACATCTTCATCAAACGTGACGGTTGCAGACTTTAGTTCTATTGTCTTTTTAAACGATTGCAGTTCATTGCCATACGGTTGAAAACCTAAAAAAAGATCAAAGCAGGTTTTATTATATTTCTTATTCTATTGATTTTCAGTATTGGCAAGTTTTTACAATAAAAGAAAAGTGAAACTTAACATGTATTTTATGAGATTACTAAAGGGACTGACATTTTGAGACGATAAACGTTGTCATGGTTTTTAGATCGCAGAAACTAAGATACGATCCATGTATCTTATTGGTCCTTTGAATAAATTTTTTTTTTCGCAAAGGGTCTCAACATAACATTATAGTAAAAATCTATGAATATTTTCTTGATCGTTACTAGTAACGATTTTTATTCTAATCGTTAAATAAGGCTAGCTTTTTCATGAACATGTAGTTCTGTCAAGTTATATTTCTTATGTTCCTACAACAAGTCGTTACTAATCATTATCGGATTGTACAAAATGTTCTGAACCTGAATCGTTTGATATGTACGGATTGATATTTTAGTCTGGTAGAGCATGGGTTATTCGTTAGTTGAAATTGGGTATTGCACTAACTTTGAGTAACTACGAGTAATTTCGTACTTTTACGTCGGTACTTTGTGTCTTCTGTCTATTTGTTAGTTTCTGTTTTATTTTTGTTGAGTAAATCACTTTAGATATTTGAATCAGTTTCATTTGAAACATAACTACATCGATATATCTTGCGCTAAAAAATGTTTTTTTTAGAATTAATACAATAAACATGTATAATTAACTGTGGCCTCTTTCCGAATGCTACCATGGGAACCAGTCAACCACCAGCGCCACATATCCTGTGGTAGTTATATGAACTAATCTTAAATTTTCATTTTTTAAAAATTTTTATTGACAAAATATTTGGTGGTTTTTTTTCAACAGAACCATCGTGATTCTTATTGGAACTTATTTTTCCTTCTTCTTATTGGGTAGTTTTTTTAATTCGCACGAGGCAGACTTCATTCAGTTTTTCTAGAAAATAATGGAAAGCTAGCAGTTTCCTTAAATGTCTCGTTCTGTCGTAGAAAAATCCTTCAATGATTATTAACTTTTTAAATATTTGGTCACTTCGATGATTTATCTAATTGAACTTAATTTTTGGTCACTTCGATGACCTATCCAATTGAACTTGAAATCAAGAATAGAGGTGATACAGCTAGGTTCCCTTCATTCCTCTTATACCAATGACGATCGGTTAGAAGCTAAACTTTTTAAGAGATATGACTTCACTTTTATATCGTCAACTTTCTATATTTTATGCAGTATGTATCCCAAAATGTAATTCGATATTCCAGGGCTTAATACTGCAACATCTAATTCAAAATAAGAGTTGTGTTAAAAAGTTCTTCGATAATGTTCAGTAAACGTATTGGAAAGACTGTTCAACTTAAAAGACAATATCGGTACATTTATGGTTTTAAGGGAAATCATTTTCCTGAAATGAAAGTATATATATTAGATTAGATATTTATTGAAAATTGTCTATAAACAGTTATTACTTTGGATTTATTTAGGCATGCGTTGTTGATATAACCAAATTATAATGAAGACCATTTTTCTTTTTTCACGGATTCTGTAATTTTGTCTATGTTCGAACAAATTGATTATGTCAAAGTTTTTATTATAAATTTTATTTTTAGTTTGAAAATACTACAGCCTAAACTTCAATGGAATCAATGCAGCGTGTTTATATCTACTCACCAACAGCCCATTCACAAAAATTTATATTTGACTCGGAATCACTAATATCCCAGTACGCTGATATAGTATTGGAGGTTTGTCCATCAATGTCATCTCCTAAAATGTATTCAAATCGTTCGCAAGATTTTTATTTCAATCTTATAGGTCTGAACACAGAGAAATGAAGAATATCGTAATTATTCAATTAAATATTAAATTGAGCCTCAATACTAAATAAAATTAGATGTCTCTGGCCCACAGATTTTTATCACCGAAAATATCTAATCGATGCTTAGAATATCAACCTTTTTATAATTGAATGATGGTTTAAGTTTTAAGTTAACTGAAAATTTTACCCGCAAAATTGCTTCCAACTAAAAGTGATAATATATTAATTTCTTCGAATGTTATGCAAAGAAACAAGTTTTATGGAATCGTGTAAACAAAAGATTAGTTGTTTCATTTTTTTAACCTCATTGCTTGACAAACGATAAAATGCATACAGCTCCAATCGATATGTGTTTTGTAAAAACTAACACCTCTGTCCTTAAAAAATGAATATTCACTACAACAACAATTTCTAAAAGCATTCAGTTGCAGAAGAAATGCGACATGTCTTGGAAACTATTTGTGGTATGTTCCATCAAGAGGGAGGGGAAAGGGGGGGGGGGGGGCAGAACTTTGTTATTGTGACTGGGAGATTGATAGATTAAAAAAAAATAATAGCGCTATAAAATCAACATAGCTAAAACAAAAGTGCTTAATATGCGACAGGCGTTACCTGTGAAAGGGGACGAAGTCTGTATGAATTATTTTTTTTTTTAATTCAAACATATTTTAACTTCAAAATCTGTTCAAAAAGAAACGGAAATACCCTTACGTTTCCGATTTCGGTTCTGTTGTTCGGAATTTTAGTTGTGACGTTATTTATGTTATGACGTCATATTCAATGTAAATAAAGAAACGCTATCAGGTAACGTTTTTTTCATATCAAGCCATTCAAAGAATTATTAAAAATGGAATTGGTATTGCGTTCCTTCCTATATTTTACTAGACTGATAAATATATATTTTACTCAAAGACTCGTGCAAACGAGACCGGAAAAAGGAATTAGAAAAAAGAATTAAAAAAGTCTGAAAATAAAAAAGATAAAAAAAGTTAACGATTTTGAGTTCATTAGTAGAATGAAAATTTCGGGATATTTTCCCGATTTTTTTTTTTTTATTTTTTTTTTTTACTGATTTTCTACCGTAATAGGGGACTTCGTCCCCTTATTAAGAAAAGTATGATTTAGCCAACAAATGCTAAGTGCTGAATATAGGGCCCACTGTTCAGTAATCGAGAAGGGATATCAATAAATAAACAGTTTTACTCTCTTTTAAATGCATCGAATAAATCAAATTATTCCGAAAAGTATCGATATTTTTACTTGCCTGAACCATCGTGAACATAGGCAATGACAGGTGGTGTCAAGTCTATGCCAAAACCTGTTGAGTAAGTTATTCCACGAAGGCCAGCGGCGTTGACAGCGACTACTGTGACATATATTTTGGATAAATGAACTAGTGTAACGTTGTAATTGTAGGCAAAGTTATTTATGCCAACACTCTTAAAAGGTTGTATTTCTGCATTTCCTTTCGTGTTTCCTAAAAAAATTGAAAATCGATAAAAGTAATATTGAAAGTAATACAATATGAAAACAAATAAATGATGCATGGAAAAAATATCCATCCAATCCATAATCCCCCGTCTTTAAGTAATCACGTTTTCATAGATTACCAACACCACATATATATGTTCATGCGATTCCCTAAGTTTTTGTTTGTTGTCTTGAGTGGTCTCTTTTTAATCGTTTTTCTTAATTTCAACATCGGTAAGCTACAGTCGCCTTAAATTATATCTGGTTATGAACATCTTGAGCTTAAAGACATGTACCCTTTGGACAGTTTACTTTCCTCTCAGAAGGAATAAGACATTAATGTTTTTATTTATCAAATAATGATAGCTTTGCTGCGTAGAATTAAAAATTTTCTAAATATAATGTTAAGGTTAAATCAAGGAAACAGATTGAAATATATCTAATATGAGCAGCAATAACGGCGTTTCCTTGATTTAAAATGTTCCAATTTTCCACGAACAATTCATTCATGACAAGGAATATACCGACATTTGTCCATTCCGAATATGTAAACAACACAAAATACACATACAATTCGTTTCCGACACTCACCAATAGCCCAAAGGTATTCGGTAATTGGACTTTCCGAATCAACAAAGTTCCAAGAAGCATGTATCGATGTCCAACGATGAAGTCCTACTGTGTGTACGTGTACAGCTTTTTCACCAGCACTATTTGACTTTTCTTCTACTTTTTGAATCTTAACATCGTCAACTAGGAAACCAATATTTCTGTTAAGATTACTAATTTTTAGTTCACTTGTATCTGCATTAGCCCTGAAGTAAAACGTTTGAAGGTGCCATGCTATATTTGATTCTTTTTCTTTAGTGAAAATATGAAATGCATGTTTCTGGTTACAAAACTCCACAGATCCTTCTATATTAGAAATGACAGCACCACTTATTGGTGTGTGGCTAGTTACAAATGATACCTGGTATATGACATTTAATAAAAGATTTTGTATATTTTGTTGTATTGACCCTTTCAAATAAATAAAAGATCGTTCGTCATAAGCAACATTTACATCAGACTTAATGGTTGTTACACAACTATCTTTTATCCAAGATAACGGCTGATAACAGTTATCGTTATCACATAAATTATAACCAGAAACGTCTGTAATGTTCATAAAACAACCATTTGTTTCTTCAAAGGACGGATTTATCAATAGGTTTTCAAGTGCATGTGAGAATAACATTGGTAAAGGCGGTGTTGTCTCTACTGACACACCAGTAGAAACAGTGATAGCCGTTTCATGCCCAACTCCATCTACAGCTAGAAGTTTACTATAGAGTACTTTTCCTGAAAATATGAAAATATAGAATAGCATTATATAAACATTTAGATATTTCAGAAATGCTTAAAGGGACAAGATGTTTTCAGTTTAAAAAGAATTAAAATATTTTGATTTTCAAATCTCTAAGGAATCTTCTAGGTTTTTTTTCTCTCCGAATAGTGTATGTATTTCTTATTCTCCCTTGGTATGTTCCCCCACTTTTATATTTGTTTTTGTAATTATATTGTCCCATTTCTAACAATACATTGTAAATAGTCATTTCCATTGCCTTCTTATAACCGTTTTTGTTAACTTACACAGAAATAGAGAATTATTAACAATAAAGAATTTTGAGATTTACCCAGTCAGATAATTTGACAAGAAACATTCACCACCTGCTATTATATAATGCATAATCACCTGATATGAATCATCAATGTACTTTATTAAGAGTAGCATAGTGTGTTCCACTAATGGAACAGGAACTGCTGACCTTCCGAGCCAATTGAGTTCACCCCCGGATTTTAGTGGGGTTCATATTGATCAAACTTTCTGTGTAATGTTTTGTTTTTGTTGTTGGTCTTTTCGTCGTTTTTCTTTTTAGCCATGCAGTTGTCGTTTTTTTTAACTTATGTTTGTGATTACCTCCTTGGATTCTTCTCCATCTTGTTATTGAAAATAAGATTCAAGAGATATGCAAACATTTGATTATACACATAATTATGGGTTTGGGAGACTTGTGTTAGCATTGTGACACATTATGATTTGATAATTACATAGTTTACAAACGTAGCAAATAGGAAATAAAACTTTATTGAGCAAAACAAGATTTTTCTCACCATTATTTAAATGATTCTGTATCCTGGTTGAAACTGATGTATGCATTCCAACATTTTTATTCGGCAGAATATCACAATCGTGGTCATTTTGAGTTGCTCCTACACACCATGAATATCTCACTATTCCTGATCCAGTGTCTGTAAATCCATGCCATGTGGCCGCCACTATGTCTGACTTGTTTTGATAATTAATATCATGGAGGCCTATATATTTAAAAACATATGAAAGATATACATTTGGCTTAACCGAATATAGCTGACAAGCAGTATGTTGTATTTGTTGTTTACTATCCATTTTACAAGAATTCTGTAATTTAATGTTTTATTCATTTTCTGATACCTTTTAAAAGCAGTCAAGGTTTTCATTAACAATTTTTGAAGGTATATTTACCGGTTATTTACCGCGAATTTAGGAGGAATCATATTAGAGACAAGCCAATGATATTTATACTACAAGAATGCCCACATTGTCTTGCACATTAGTAATTCAAAGTATCAGAAAATGGGATGTGGGTGTATGATAGATTTAGAATATGGCACTGGTTACAACTCATCACTGTCAAATGGCTGACCAAATATGAAGTCATTCTGTTCAGGAGTACTGAAAAAATGTGATGGATATTTTAAGTTGATAAAATAGGCGGAAGATACCAAGGCGTCATTCAAAAGTCGAAGAAATAATTACAACGTAATGGCAAAAAAACACCACATAGAATTCCAAAGATTGAGCAACACGAACCCATCTAAAAGCTTGGGGTAAACTCAGGTGCTACTCAAGAATAATCCGTTCCTGCTCCACATGTAGCACCAATCGTGTTGCTCATGCAAGCATAAATCCATCGTTTTATTCGATAATGTCACAATCGAGGCACACATGACGGGATTATCTGTCACGACAATTTGAACATATCCCTGGTCATCTGTGACACAGATATTAGTATTACATAACGGTTAACCAACTCGTGATGAGATTCGTTAAACTTTTAAAGGGTTGACTTCAGTCATTAAGTACCCTTGGTTCAATAGCTTCATTGTAAGCAGCAACCCTTTTTCAAGGAAATCATGACAGGAAACCCAAGCTCTAGAATACCGTTTAAACTGGAAGATATATGCTCAATATGCATATGAAACCTAGTGAAAAAAGTGTCGACAAACAGGAAGTAGGTGTTCACACGTTACAACTCAACACTACCTGCTGACCAAATATGAAGCCATTCTGTTCATTAGAACCTGATAATATGATGACGGAAACATTTGTTGGACGAATTGAATATTTGGACGGACTAGGTGAACGCAATATAGTCCCAACTCCTAGATTGTGGGGATAATTTTAGGATAATTACGCATGAATGATACAAAATGGTATTTACATTCTTGGTTAAGATTAGATAAAACATAATGGCTTTGCAATGATCTAATGTATTAGATATGGTAAATAAAATTGTACCTAATTAAAAATAGTTTTATAGTACCCTGAGACATTACTTTTGGAGGTTTTTCTAACCAAAATCAAGGAATGTCAAAGAAATATTTTAATTGCCTTAGTTAATAGCATACAATGCATATGTTTATCGGAGACATTGGAACTCAAATGTGATATACCATGTGAACAAATCATCAAATAGACAACAATTCAAAAAAAGAAGAAAAAGATGAGGAAAATATGCACTTTCGAAAACTGTCCGGGATGTCCTAGAAGATAAATGGATTATAGAGGCCCAAAGCTTTAAAAATTTAAGTGTTCGTTATTACTTAAGAGAACTTATAACAATCCTTTAAATATTCGTTTTTCTAGGCAATTAAGATCATTGCATAAGGGCAAAAGCTGTTACACGTATCTTGAAATTATGCACTTTCTATTATTTCCTTGTTCTTGTGAGTGATCATCCTGCTGTAGGGGCCTGTACATACTTCTTTTTACTGTATATTACTTATACGAGATGGGATATGAGTGGGCAAAGGGTGGAGTTTGTGCGTAAGTAAAACTGGTTAATCCCCATCACATTTTGTGCACATACCAAATGAGGATATCTGGACTTGTTATTGTTCATTGGTGTTTGTCTTTCTTGAATATCTGTTTTTAGTTATGTGTTTTTGGGTGGTTTTGTGCTGTTGTGCTGTTCGATATCTTTTGGTTATGCCTGTTATTGTTTTTTTAATATCATGACAACTATTATCAATAACAAATTATTGAGATTAATAAGTAAGAAAATTTAAATTAAACTTAACAAAAAGAATCAGATACTGACCTAAACCATCATATATGACTCCAGATACAGGTGGTGAACTATCAACCATGATCCCGTCTGAATATGCTACAGTCTGTAGTCCAGAGTAAGAACGAGCTATAATATTACTGAAATAACGGACACCGGGTATCATTGTTAACCGACTTATGTTGACAGCATACACTGACGAGTCGATGTCTAAATCAACTTTATGCAAGTCAGCACCTAAAACATTTATCGTTCAATAGTCATACTCTAATATAATCAAACAGTAATGGTAAACGATCTGATGAGAATTAATCCAATTATTTCCTGAAAATTATCATTTATTGCATAAAAAGCATAAGGTTTTTAAATATTATTTTATCAAAAATGTTAATTTAAATTTCCACTTTTAACACTGTTTTTCTTCAATGTGTTACACATAAGAATGAATGCCTAATTTGAATGTATTTGAACTGAGCAGGATAATGATTGACTTTGATTAAAATGTACTCATATCATAATTTTGTGTTATTATTTTTCTTAAAGTTTACCGTGCAAAACAATATTTACTACGATTAGGAACAATATCTTCAAGCTTACACTTTTCAACCAGTAGTACTTTTTTAAACTGTATGTATTTTTTCATTAACAATGGAACACTTAACTAACACATAAAACAACTGCCCTGACTACATAGGTAATATTATGTTCATGATATAAATTATGCCATTATACTTCATGTAAGGTTAAACTTTCAGGTAAAATTCACAGTTGGCGTCTTTCTTTTTTCTAATTTGTGTGAGCATGCATGTCAGTATATATTTGCCCACCAAAAGGTATGATTTTTGTCACATGGCTCATTAAAAATGAAACATTAAAAATGATCTTTTTTGATTTCAATAAGATTGGCATCAGTTAATTTAAAAAATGAAAAAGATAGAGCAAACATCGCATTGACATTAAAAAACATAAAATATTGTAGCAACATTTGGGTCTTTGCAGATACTTGTAGCACGAGTGTAAAAAGACCCATTAAATGTCTTATTCTGATTTGTATCAATGACATCACAGTCCTAAATTATTCGGAGAGCTTATCTACGTTTAGCCCATTGTATTGCATAACCCTTTATCGTAGAGAATTGTTGTCGACAATGTGAAGGTCAAAAGTCGGAATATATATGGAGGGGTAACTAGTACAGGTGCGATCAGGTGGCTAAGACTTGAACTCTTCAATATTGGATTCTGTAACACATATTGTAGTTGAAAAGTTAGATCGCAATAGGTGTTGTATATGTAGAAGAGATGACAGATATAAACTGATCTTTGCAGAATGGATGTAATTTAGATATCAGTGATTTAGTATGATAGATGTTGCCTCAATTGATGATACGTATTTAACCTTAAATACTTGTATACCTGTATGTACATACACCTGCTATGATTAAAGGTAATGATTTGTGGAACTGTATAATTCAAGAAGTATACTAAATATGAAACATTTCAAGCATCATACAATCATATACTATACCTCCTTTAAAACTGCTCATATAAACATTGAACTTTTGTATACTTCCACTCTTAGCTGAAAACACATTTTTCCAACTAATGGTAAATAGATAGCCAGGCTTGATAAAATCCACATCACTTTTCCAGAAGAGCGGTATCTTCTCAACTACCTTCACATGCAAGACATATTGAATCGTTATAAAGGACATAACTTTTTTTTGTAGAAACAATAACCGTGGTTTCTTTTCATCTAACAAATATAGTTTAACAATATAAACAGAGAATAAAATAGTATGTATCATTTACAAGACTGGCAGTAATACCCGCGCTTGGTCTCACTTTGTAATTAAAAGAATAAGCTAATTATGTAGTTCAATCGAAACAAAATTAAATTTGCATCGGCATTGATAGAAAGTTATAGCAGGTTCCGTATTTGACTATGGATAACACGGACTGTATTCACTGCAGATCTTCGTTGAAATGTTTACATATATGAATCGGAGGACAGACTTCTTTTTTTAATTACGTATTCAAAAAGAAAAAAAATCATACCAACATTGCATATTAAAGTCTTTATCACAAAAAGCTTTCTCTGGTTATGTTTCTATGAACAGCAATCATAAAAAGAATTTTCTGATCTGCTGGGAATCTCGCGAACGTTGACGATTTACTCATTTGTATAGTTGTTTTGTGATTACTACGCTCTTTTTTGATATTGTCAGTTTGTTTTCAATTTATGAGTTTGCATATCCCTTTGGTATCTTTCGCCTCTCTTTTGAAATGATATAGCCTATATTTGTATGTCCTAAACCAAAATATCAACCGAATAGAAGTTCAGAGTGTGAAAGTTTACTGTCAAGTTTGGTCCATTCTAATTATTGTATTATCTGCAAAAATAGATTTGCACATACGTGTAAACGGCATTTTTGGCTTTTAGAAACTTAAGATAAATCTCATTAAAGATAAATCATAGGGATGGATAAGTACAAGTTGTATAAAGAATTCGGTAAATTGTAGAAGATTTTACGTTGTGAATCTTATGTGGCATACACACTGTTACAATCCAATAAATCCTTTCAATGAAATAATATTTCAAAATCTTCATCACTGAATAAAGATATACATGCTCCAATTAATGAATACAAGATAAGGGCATCTGAACGTTTTTTTCTGGTTAGACAGGTTGATAATATATCTACTCTTGAAAGTTACATACCGCTGTTCCTCTATGATTCTTGATTGAAATTGGTACAGCTAGAACAGTAACACCATCTGATTTGAATATTGCATATTTGCTACTGCTGTACCATACTCGAACAAATACGGAATAGGTTATTAACTCTGACAACTTCTGACCTTTGAATAAATTAGTGAACATTTATCATTACATGTTAAGGATTGAATATAATCAATACGAAATTTATCTTTATCTAATTAGTCTGTTGTCTTTGATGACTTAAATTATTTAACTGCATCTGCAAGGTTTTTAAGTCTCAAGGTAGTACGCTATTTTGGGCAACAGAAAATAATTACAAAACGTAAACTTTATCTTCAGATTGTACAGTTACTTAGATTTGGGAACTTATTTGATTATTTTACAACAAATTACTACGCTTTTTCATTCTATAAATGATAAATGAATGCGAATCTTTATAGGATAAACTGTAGAGAGAATTGAAAATGCCACTGTTTTCTTGTTTATTCAGTTTTAGTAGCAATAGCCCTTTTCAAATGAAATTGAATTTGATTTCAAAAGGCACATATAAAGTATCATCTTGGTATTAAATTGTACACTTTTTTTTGTTTGCAAAATATAATTGACGTCTAGTCACGACATAATTTAATACTGAGCTCTACTGTCAGGAGATGTGGACACTGCATGTAATGCCTAGATAATTGTTGAATTTTTTAATTACTATGCCTGATGTATTCACAGAAAATACCTCTTGGTAAGCAGTCAGCAGCCTCCATAATTTGTCCAGAATGATGCCACAGGGTTTCTGTTGAATTATCAATAACATGCTCAGGTAAATCCGCTGATGTAAAACCTATTCCCCATTCATACCTGCATTTTGTAATAAATTTATATTTGAAGTAATTCGTTTCATTTTAATGTACCATTACGCTTAATAATAGAACAAAAATTAGATAGTTGACTAAATCTAAATTAGTCCTAAAATTTATATCTATGTATAGCCGTGATTTGGATTATAAGAAATCAAGAAAACAAAATGGAAACTAATAAATTTAAAAACTATAACCTCTTTGGTTATAATGTAACTATATATATACACAATTGAAACTTTTTCGAACACGAAAATTACTTTGTAACATTCTTTGTTAGAAAATTCGACAGTAAATATATGTCACATGACATACCACTTTCTAAATGTAGCTAACAAAACGTTTTACAATTGTACTGCTATTCATATTGCAAACGGAATGATTTGGTTAGACTTTCCTATAATGAAGCAGAAGTTCCGAAGAGCATGTCGTATTCATGTAGTCTAAATATGCAGAATATATTTTAACTAACAGAAAACCTTAGTATCTAGTAAAACAAAATTGCTTAGCTAAAATTTTTCAAAACACTGCACATTTATATCTATTACAGATATCAATATGAAATTCCTTCTACATAACTTAAACGTACCAAAGTGGCGGTAATCCTTGGTTTTTAACAATAGTCCACTTTGCCGAAAGAAAAGAATTGCTGGGAGTAAACTGAATATCGTCTTGGTTTGGTCCGGACAGATCGATGGTATCTAATACAGTTATCAATGTATCTTTGTTATCTGTAAAAAGATTGGATAGCTAAAATATACATTTTTAACACTTTGACAGTTCTAAAAACGTAGATGTTAACGTTTAAAACATATCTCCTCAATACACGAATTAAACTACCGCAATGACCTTGAGACAATTTGGTCTTCTTCTGCATACAGTACTGTCTTTTAGTTTCAATTTGTATATTTTATAAACCTAATTATTGCATTGGTTAAAATGAAATACCGTATTTTCCCAGTAAGATAAAAACCGAAAACTTCATATGTGAAATATATCAGATAATTTCATTCACACTGACGTCATACAGCAATTAACGTTGTTATCAAAACGAGATGAGAATGTGTAGACAAAGATATTTAAAAGTCAAAGGTCAATGTAATAAAAACAATACGTAGTCCAAGATTCAAATATCGAAAAATATTCGAAAACAAAATATTCAACTCATGACCGAACAGCACTGACGCATTAGTGAATTAATGTGTTGTTCGGTCACTCGTTGAATATTCTTCTACATTTGAATTCTTGGATATAAACATTATCGGTACCAATTTATTGCACCAGATGCGCATTTCAAAAAATAAATGTGTATTCAATGATGCTCGAGGCCAAAATCCAAAACTTATTTAAAGATTGAAGAGCTGCTGAAACCAAAAAGGAACAAAAAGAACAGCAGAAGCAGGACAAGTAATCAGAGCTTTGCATGATATACATACGTTCCTTATTTAAAGATCGTTTCAAAAATTTTGAAACAGCAAATGTAAATAACACAATATCCGTATTTTTTTTTTATCAGTACCGAACAACTGGCTATTGGGTTGGTGATACCCTGGATAAGTTATTCCATTGTTCATTGTTCCATCATCTTACGTATAACCTATTTTAACTGCTATCAATCTAAAATTACTCCTAATAAACCAAACGTTAATGTGATCGTTGTCCTTTTTATACATTGGTATTACAATAACTCATTGTTATAGTCTTTCCAAAATTTAAGAACGAGGAACGACTTTTCCTTTCCCTGGTGATGATGTTCCGTTGGCTGTTTTTTATGAAGTTTACATTCTTCATTAAGTTTCGTATTCGTCTCAAGAAAAATAAATAATGTAATTCTTTCATGAACAGTACACTTTTACAACAGAGATATAAATGAAACAAAATGAAAATCACAATTAGAGGCACAAAAGGAAAGGGTTATGAAGGAGCAATAAAAGCCGCAAATCAACGAGACTGAACCAAAAGAAAATTTACATACAAACAACAGAATAGAAAACAAAAGACAAAAATTTGAAGATTTAGCAACATGAACCCAATGAAAATAAGGTGTAAACTGAGTCCCCCCGGAAGCGTCACCAGTTCCTGCTTCACAAGTGACATCCGTCATGTAATGATAAGACTGATGATAAGTTATAATATGTGATAATGGTTCATAAAATAGCGGATTTGCAAATATATCTCGTCCAACCGCATGAAAATACCAAATTTATACACTATGAGGATAGGTAAATTCTCTAATCCTAAGAAATGATCGAAAGTGCAAGTTTAAAAAAATAAACTCAGTACGTCAGAATGTGATCACATATAAGTCATTAAGATAATTGTTTCAATTTTATTGTAGTTTTAGGTTTACGAATAAAAAAAAGTAAAATTAAAAACCAATTGTTCAAAGAACAATTGAAGGTCTTTCCACATCAATTTTCTAAATAATTGATGAGAAGATAATTCTGGTTTACTCAAAGCTACTATTGGCGTCCAATCATAGGTTTCTTCATACTGATTCAATAAACATGGTTTCTATAGACTTTTGCCTGAAATAAGGGAGATAATTGTCAACATCCGGTTTAGAAAATGTCACTTCCGGTCTCATATGATAGCTTTATTTACACTGATTCCAAAAATATATGGTTTACATATACTTTTGCCTGTAAAAAGGGGGATAATTGGCTACTTCCGGTTTAGAAAATGTCACTTCCGGTCTCATATAATAGATTTATTTACACTGATTTCAAAAATATATGGTTTATATATACTTTTGCCTGTAAAAAAAGAGATAATTGGCTACTTCCGGTTTAGAAAATGTCACTTTCGGTCTCATATGATAGCTTTATTTACACTGATTCCAAAAATATATGGTTTATATATACTTTTGCCTGTAAAAAGGGAGATAATATGCTACTTCCGGTTTATAAAATATCACTTCCGGTCTCAAATGATAGATTAATGTCTGACCATTCAAAAAATATATGGTTTCTATGTACTTCTACATGAAATAAGTGCAAAAATGACTACTTCCGGTTCACTCAAGGTCTCTTCCGGTTGACATTTTTCAAGGTCATATGTCACCCAACATTTTGCAAAAGATCTTATGGCTTTATCATGTACCAAAATGAAGTAATAATCAATTTACCTTAAAATAAAACATTTCAGGGGCAATAACTCCAATAAGATGTCGCTGGATTGTCTCAGACCAAATGTATCATATCTTCATCACAATATAACAAACATTTTGCACTTGTTCTTTAATATATAACATTAAAAATATCGGAGAAAATGCAAAAACAAGCAAAAGACAAAATTCAGAACATGACCTTGACCTTTGACCTTGACCTCATTTTCGAAGTTAGGATCCAAGGACCTTAAATAAAAAGACTATAGGTTTATACAGCTTACAGTTTATGAGTAACAAAAACATAACGACAAATTTATTTGATAAAGGTAAATAACTCCTATAAAATTTCATCGAATCGCTTCGATCCAAATTAGCCAAAAATTCCTGAGGATGTAACGAACAATTTGTAAAAAGAATTTTGTCGATATCTTTTTTTGTTACGAAGGAGATGCACACAGATGATAAACAGTGAGTAGGGAGATAACTCTTACAAAGAAAATGGTTCGGCTTAGCAGGGTAAAATTTAAAAGCGCATAAACTATACGATACAATATGAGAAATATCTAAGCGACATATTGCGAAACAAACATTTATCGCAAGAACAAAATTTGGCGGAAGAAGAAAAAAAAATAATAATTATAATAATAATCAGAACAAATACAATAGGTCTTTCCACAGAAAAGTGGAAAGACCTAATAACAAAAATACCGAACTTAATTCGGTAAGTCCCTTATCAAATGGCAAAATCAAAAGCTCAAACACATCAAACGAATGGAAAACAACTGTTATATTCCTGACATGGTACAGGCATTTCCTTATGAAGAAAATGGTGGATTAAACCTGGTTTTATAGCTACCTAAACCTCTTACTTGTATGACAGTGGCACAAGATTCCATTTTTTGACAACAATGTGTGAACAAAACAAACAGACATAATAGGTAAAAATGTCAAAAATAGGGATACAGCAGTCAACATTGTGTTATAATCTTAATCACTATAAAAAAAAGACCTGAGCGATTTATTATTTCATTCCTAGCTTTAGCTATTAACTTTCTTCATTCGACTTCCTAAGTACCTGCTTTAGTAACTCTTTTATCCTTCACCTTTTCTACTTTCCAAAACCATAAAGCTGCATTTTTCTCACAATTTATCAAGCATTTGCTTATACTTTTATTAGGTATTATTAAATTTGTATGTGCTTACTAAATGTAATAAAACTGTTATCATTCCGATGTTAATTCTATTGACAACATATCATACGGTTGGCGGACGTGCTTTTTAATAGACAGTCGTCATGCATTCTTATGAGAACCAGTTGTACTCCTCTTCTTTCTCTTCGAATTATTTCTTTATTATTTTGAGGCAGAGTTTATAAAGGGGTTCCCAAGGAAGCATCATCGCTAACTTTACGGTCCGCTTTGTTTATGCTACACTCTGAATGGTGTTTTGTAGCTACGCTTAATGCATCTATCTTATTGAACATGGTACAAAGGGTACATCAGGTTCAGATAAGTCTGCTTCATATCTGGATTTACAACTTAAAATTGACAGTGACGATAGGTTTGAAACTTAACCTACAAAAAAGACGTGCCTCGGAATTTTTGACAGTATAGGTACCAACAGGATGAGCAGTAACTTGAACAAGGGAATAAAAGAAGGCACATAATGTTATCAAAATGTGCTCTTAACTCCGGAAAGCAACATGATGTACCTCCGTTAGCCACAGTTGTTGGGTGAATACTAGTAATGTCTGAAAATGGACATCATTGACTGTTTTTATAAGCTGAATTTGTTTGAATAAATACATTCAGCCTGTTTTTAATTAAATCAATATAATCAAGTTCATTATTGCGGTATCTGCTAATATTTTTTTTAAATGTCCATTTATTTGTAGGATTTTTACGGGTATTTTTAGCGCTCTGATGTAAAAATACGTTAAGCGATGCTATTATTTGCCAACATTTTTCTATCAGTTTAAAAGCGTTGAATCTTAGATATCTAGGCAGCCACAACCTACCTGCTGACACATCTGTGCATGCGTTCCCAATAAGATGACAACGTTTATCCTTTGGTGAACATACACAATGACCAAGGCATGTCTGAGCCGTGCAACTTCTTATTAAATCTAAATAGCCTCCGGATATAAGTTGAAATTTATGATGTATCATTTGACTTCTTAATCCGACCTGTAATAAGTGAAAGTCATTTACCAAAGACATTTGTTTTACAATTCAAATATAACAGATATCTATGAAATGACTCTCAAATGACATGGTGCGTATATTTCCGTACATGTCGTTATTTAGGAATTACTATCAATCCAATTAAAAACGGATTGATTATAACATGATTCTAAGAGAGTTTTTAAAAAAATATGTTCCTGTTGACATATATCAAATGTGCGTGTATGCCAAATTACCACAACTTATTTTTTTTCAAATGACCTACTTTATTTACAGCCCAAGTGCTGATATAAATATGATCATAATTTTTCAGCTGCTGGGTTGATAAAATAATGAATTGAATAGGACCATCATCCAAATGTTGAATGCTTGAGTCATTGTGAAAATACTCCATTGGAGATCCAGGGACCTGAAATAAAAAGCAGATCAATAATTTCGCTTTTAACAGTTTGAATACAATCTAAGAAAGGGGTAAATATAAAAATACCAATTGAAGTAATGAAAGTTAAAAAAACCTTCCGGTTTAATACCAAAAGTGTATATTGTACATATAAAATCAAGCAAACTTCAATATCTTTAACTTGAGCCAAAAAAAAAAACGTTCTCGTTAGCCATTAGCTAAAACATCATGTTTCATTTTGATTATATAATAATTTGTTTAAACCTGCCAAAATGGTCATTTAAGTTACACCACGAACATAACTAACATGATGCATATATACTACGAATACACAAGTTACCTTGTTTAAATTGTCACCCATAAAATTATTGCCAATGGACGCAAAATACTTTTTAATGCCAGAGTGAAGGTCTTTAAATCCAATCAAAGATATTTGAAGACGATATTCTGACCAATTCATCCATCCTGGAGTATGGCGTTGTAGGTTTGCTGCGTGGAACGTACTCACGGCAAACATACCTTTGTTTAAAAAAATTAAAAGAATGCTCAAATTCGTGTTTCAACATTAACTGAATTTTATGAGCAAAAATAACATAAAGGACAAAAAGTATTTCAAACCCCGAACACGAAATTAGAGCGATTCATAATAATGATACATTTCATTATTACAAATTTTATCCTAAGTGTTATAATTGCAAATTTTATAAATTAAGGTGACAGTAATGTACCAATGTTAAAATCTGGAAAATCGATTAGGGAGAGACAAATCAAGGTAAGAAACTAAAAATGAGGAATTGGGTGAAACATAAAGGAGCGAAACCGCGTGCGTAGACAGGGTAAGCATCTCCTGCATCACCCGCCAAACGAATTAACACTCAGTAAAACGCCACAATCGGGAATAGTACCCAATCGGTACAATAACAAGTAAGACGACTACACTGGTATCTAAAGACTCCAAAAAGCATGTTGCTAGTAAGTGATACTGAGTTAGATACACGTATTTTGTTTTGCCAGTCCAAAGTTCTGCCCGACTGAAATGATGACCCGATGGTAGTAATAAATTTTGCTGCACCAGATATACATTTCGAAAACTAATGTCTATATAAGTGATGGTCGATGCCAAAATATTTAAAAATCTAAAATCTAATACAAACGCTGATATAACTGTATATAACCGAAAGTATAGACAAACCAGAGCTATGAATGAGGAAGATAAATTCCTTAATTCAAAAATGATTTTGAGTTTTATAACAATGAAGTTCAATAAAATAATTTCCGTATTTTCATGCCACCACCGAAGAACTGAGACACTGGGTTGGTGATACCATTGTGGACTAACAGTCCAACAGTTGAAGTATCGACCCAGTGGTAGTAATAACAGAAACAAATTTCAATACAGCAATATCTGTATTTTCATGCCAGCATAAGTATATAAAACAATGAATGAGGCAAAATGGGATAATGCACATACTTTTAGTTTTTATATTTTGATAGAATATAACATTTATCATTCAATTTATAACTTCAGTATAAAAAATATGTTTATCACTCGTTCTTCGGCAATTGTTTTGCAAAATTTTTATACATATACATGTATTTTGTTGAAGTGTATATGGGACACATACTAAGATTGTTTCGTCTTTATTGCTTATTATCACTGTCATCCGCTTAGTAGCCGCATCTTCGACATTGGTAGTATTTAAATGTTTAAATTTGTTTGTAAATATACACTGATGAAGGTTATTCAGAAATAGTTGTTGTTTACAAGGAGGATAACATCCAACCTAGTTGATCTACCTTGATATGTATACTGTATAAATCAGTTAAATGTTCATATAAGATTCACTTTTTAATGTTTTTGTAGCAATACTACTGTTAAATGTGATGGAGAGGGTTAGTGCCAAAACAAATGTTTAACCCCACAATATCATTCAGGTGCCTGTTTCAAGCAAGGAGCCATTAATCCAGTGGTTGTCGTTTAATTGTTTTTCGTTTATTGTTGTATATATAGAATTATAACTTAGGCCATCGGTTTTCTTTTTTGAATGGTTGTATTTTTTTTATCCCAGCTTCTTTCTTTACCTTTCTAAACGGTATGAGATTTGTTTATTTTATTAAGGCTATACGGTAGACATCGGCAAACATTTTGAGATAAGTTTTAATATCATTTATTTTAATTTTTATTTTACTTCATTATGTAAAGTTAAACCTATCTAAAATAAACGTGATTATAGCTGTGCTCCACATTATAAAACATATACATACCGGATGTAGGTGGAGTGGTATCTACCAGGATACCATCCGATTCAGTTTCTGTGCATATTTGTGCACCATTACATACTATCAGATTCATATAGTAGGTATCACCGTCATGTAAATCAAGGTCTGTCATGGTGTATTCTCTAACTACACCACTAACCTGTAAACAGTTCATTCATTTACAAACTAGTTATGAAATAGCAAAATGAAATTTGCAAATCTTAAGACTTTTTTAATAAAGGTTTTCAAAGTTTAAATTTTGTGTTTTTCTTGTTCTGCAAAAAAGTCTTGTATATATCCAATTACATATAAACACATTTTTTAACATAAACCCGAGAAAAAAAAAGGTTCCGAGGCAAAATTTCGCTCATGCTTTAATTGATCACCAGTTGAGACAATAACCCAATTTTGATTATACTGCAACTGTGCTATGTACGCAGTCAAATTTCATTGACAGTATATTCATTTGTGATATACAAGCACTGGCCGTATATCGCCTAACTTGATTACAATACAGATCCTGTGTCCAAGCTTTGCTGACAGGGATCTGACACCAATCCGTTTTACTTTCGGATCTGGTAATTAATACATCAGCCAATGAAATTTCAGCTTTCACATTTTTGAAGGTGTGTGTATAAATCCGACAAAACCAGAGGATCCCGAAAGGTCTTTAAAACAGAAAGTGAAACGGAGCATTTTCAGATCCTTGTAAGCAAAGCTTGGACACAGGATCTGTATTTTAATCAAATTGTATATCGCCTTGTTTGTGTGTATATCGGTTAAGTTTTATTTATGACCGTCAATAAAAAATACAGGTCCCCGGAACAGTATATCAAAATTGATGGTTTTTACACAAACTATTTCATTTGGAACAGTTTTAAGAGCAGCAGTATAAAGAGAACAACCATACATTGTCCCAAATTGTCAAAAATTGTAAGTTTAAAGGGTCATACCTCCTTAAAAAAAAAATTGAATCATAATTTCCAATAATTTCTGTCGATATGCATATCTACATAGTATGTTCTTATTATCTACAAAGTTCAATGAAATTTTGTTGTGTGGATTCAGAGGAGTTGTGAGGATAAACTGTTGCAGTAGTAGATTTAAGCCAAACTTCTAAGTTTAAAGGGGCATAACTCATAGAAATCTTTTTCTGTCGATATGCACATCTACATAGTATGTTCTTAATATCTACAAAGTCTCGTGAAATTATGTTATGTTGTTTCAGAGAAGTTGCAATGATAAGAACAGGACTGACGGACAGGCGGACTGGCAGACGGACAGGTCAAAAACCTTATACCTCACGGAACTTTGTTTCGTAGGGTATAATAAAAGGAATTGAACACAAGTGAAATCTGCAGATTGATCCTCATACGAGACGACTTACTCGCTTACGTTTATCCTATATTTTATGTCATGCGCCATTCAAGTTTTTCCACACAAAACATGATTGCTTTAAATGTACTGAAATTCTTGCAGATTATACTATTGCATTATAAGGAAGGAAACCAGTGTAAAAAATCAAACCAATTTTTCATACCATGTTGCATTGTCTATAAACGACATTATCTTTTAAAAATAAACGACAAAATTAATAAAACGAAAATACGACTTTATCTTGACATTCTTCTTTGTATACAATATAGAAAAGAGTGTGTTTACTTTGTTCAGTATCGATTTTCTTAAAAGATACAAACCATTAATGAAGTGGCGTTGAATTCCCCATTTGTATGAGATGATATAGATAAATACTGTCTCTGTATAGAGGACTGTGCATCTTGAACGTTCCAACGAAACCTTAATGCAGACCTTAGGACTGTAGATCTTTCAACAATTGACGCCAAATCATTTGACAGAGAAGGTTTTTCAACTATATCTGGCGCTGATATGTCAATTATAAAACCGTTTGATGTTAACTCTGAATACAAGTCTGAAAGAACACGTATATTCATACATTGTATATTAAACTTCAACATGCAACATAAATACGCACTGCAGAAGGAAAGAACATTTATTCAGGCATTCAGCATATCATGCCACAACTTTGGAAATCGAGATTAAGTAATATTTAAAGCGTGTAAAGGGTAATTAATTGGATTTAATCTTGTTCAAGCTTTTGAACAACACTTACATTTTTTACACTTTCGATACATTTTAATTTAACAATTACTACTAACCTACATATAAATCTTTCAAAGACTATCAAACATAGGGTATTACACCAGTAGTTATTCATTTACCTTGAATGCTTATAAAAAAATCATCAGGAATGTTTAATGTTTATTACAAAACATGACTGAATTAGCGTATTATATGCTAAAAATATTTTAGACCTTTAATGAATACTTTACAAGATTCTTGCGTTGTCATTTCTAACATATTTTTTATGAGCTGAATTAATTAGTGAATTTTGCAATAACTGTATATTTAACCTTGCTTATTTTGTATGTTCTTGAAAACGTTACTTTTTTAAATTGTCACCTCGTGTTTAAGGGTTTTAAGGTTTGGAAAATCTAAACGTCGTCTACCTAAAATTTTGAACAACAACACTAACGAAATACAAAAAGTTACTTCATTTTCATGAGAAAACGACAAAACTTATAAGTCATAAGTAGTTTTGCCCAAAGTTCTATCTTCCATTTTTTGTCCTATGAATTGGTTTAGTTATTAAAACGTCATGATTTATTCAACAAAACGGCTATTAACGGCATATAACGTTCATAAACACGCTAGCAAATTTTTCGAAATGGAACAGTATCGACTACATTATGTAAATATTAATATGATAAACTTGAAACACATTTCTATATTGTTTCCGTAGTTTAGTAGATAGGACGTTAGAAATTGAACCTTTATGATAGAAACTACTGTTTAAATCACGACAACCTATAATTTTTCTCCCAAAAGAAAAGAAATTGGATCATATTTGCCTTGCTAGTCATAAGTAGAGTAAAACAGTGAAAAAATAAAACAATGACAAAATTAAAATAACTTTGACCCAGGAGATATTATTTGACTTCTATAACACACCTTTTCGATAAAAACTGCTAAATATTGTATGACAATTAAACAATAACATTTTTAACAAAGGTCTCATCAATGTTCAAATAGTGAAAACAACATATACATGTATATGTTAACATTCTGAATACCTAAAACTATTGAATAACCCAACCTGCTTTGTTGTAAGCGCGTATGGTGATGTAAATACGTCGACCCAGGGGTAAAGGAATGGGTAAATTTGTCAACAAAACCATGTCACTGTGCGGTAACATATTTGGTGGATATATGTCTGCTGATCCTGGAGATGTTCCTGCTCGAATCACATAGTATTCTATCTCAGATTGAGCGTCTGCGAACCCAAACCATTTCGCTGATAAGTAATTCCTACAAATAATGCAATAACTCTAATCATGTATAAATGTATGATACAAGATATTATATTTGAAAAAAAAACGTTTAAAAGAAAAATGAAAAAGAAAGTAAAAACATACTGATTCTTTGAATTTATTTTCCTAGTGTTATTTTTTTTATTTTCTTAAGCTTGCAGAAATTGTTCAAAATATTCTGAATTTGAGGTAATTATCCCATGCAATAAATCCATTTAACAATGATTTTATCATTGTTCTATATGCTGACGTTGTTTAAAAAAGTATGCTACATATACATTGAAAAAAATGCTCTGATTAACCTTGCTGATTGATATTCAATATCATGATCATCTGTACCATCTTGTACAACTCCTGGGACAGGAGGACTGTTATCTATAACAACACCATCTGATGTCGCTGATCTGCATAAGTTTCCAGTATTACATGCAGTAACGGTTGAATAGTATGTAATACCTGCTTCTAAGTTTACATTGGAAAGAGTAAAATCTGAAAATAATAAATAAATGTCTAAAGATAATTGAATAAATAAAAAAAATGTGAATATTCTTTGAAAACTGCTTTTATGCAGATTTATTCATAAAGAAATATTACTAAAAATATATAAGATATCAACACGAGTATTTACTTAAGGACGCATTCCCTTATGAATATTTACCGGTCTTCCAATTTATGCAAACACTACGTTCGGCGGAATCAATCAATCAATCAATCAATCACTCAATCATTTCACTTTATATTTTACTAAAGGTGTCAAGTACCAAAGTAGGTACACGCTACAGAGCAACATTAATAATTCTAAAAAAACATATTATGGATATATTCTGATTATCTGTATATCTCGTCTAACCCTGCTACATTAATAATTCTACAAAAACATATTCTGGATATATTCTGATTATCTGTTTGTCTCATCTAACCCTGCTACATTAATAATTCTACAAAAACATATTCTGGATATATTCTGATTATCTGTTTGTCTCATCTAACCCTGCTACATTAATAATTCTAAAAAAACATATTCTGGATATATTCTGATTATCTGTTTGTCTCATCTAACCCTGCTACCTATTATCTCATATTAGTGTATAATCGTCGATAAAAGAAGGGGTAAAATATACCAAGGGAGAATACAAAAATGTTAAGTCGACGAAAAACAGACCAAACTATGACCAAAAAGAGAAACAACGAAAAGACAAACAACAGTCAACAAAACAAAACGATCGTTTTATTCTTTTCATTTTCTCTTGTATCCCACTGCGTTATTGATTGAAACATAAAACACTTGATATGCCATAATTTGAAGGATTATAGACATATCCACCCTCCATCAGAAAGCTAAATACAAAAGGAAAGCACAAAGTCGTCACAAAACAGCATACTGCAGATGTGAGATAATTTCACCTAATTGACACTTGGTTCCACTACACTGATTCTTATAAAATCAATAAAAAGAAACGGTTCGAATTTAACTGAACCAGATGCACCCATAAATAACCTTTAAATGATACTCGATGCAAATATATTGATAGTACTCCACAAAATTAGACACTAAAGATTGTACTAATAAACTTTTGATTTATGAATTATTTGCATTCCAATATGGTGCATATACAGCCGTGTCAGTATGTGACAGAACGTCATCCAGTTGAAAAGAACGAAATCTAGGTTTAATGACAATAAATTTAGATTTATATGCATCGAAAAGAAATATTCGTCAAATACATAAAATAACAACGTCGACATTACAAAAAACGTTTGCTTTTCATTTTGTCGTTGAAACGATGGGATATGTCACAAATCAAAATTCTTACTATTGCTTAAAAGGTTTAATTGATTAGATTTTCCATTTCAGTTTGATTTATCGTTGAGAATGACCACAGTATTTTGAGTAAGGATGGCACCATTCATGTTGCTGACAAGCATTCTATCTAGTTTGATATTCAAGATGTTTAACATCAAAACAGTTACAGTTGTATGTATCTTTTCTGAACTGATATCGAACGAACACACCATTTAGATTGTAGAACTCCAAGACAATGTAAACGGAGAATTAAACTACCTGATTATTATGTAGTGATTATTTTCGCGGAGTTTAAATTTCGCGATTTCTATAACTAAACCTTTTTGCGAGGTGTTATTATCACTTTTTTCTTGTTTTTCTGTGCACGTTTTTATAGAACGAATATACGCAGATTTTATCTGAATCTCAAAAATAGTTAAAAATAAAATCCCTTGTGAATATTAACCGCGTTACATTATCTCATTCTAAGACATTGAATAAAACAAATTTTTAAACATTGAGCATTAAACCTGTACAAAGGGCAGCCATTTCAATTACTTAGTTATATTACCTAGAATAGTGACGATTGAAAAAAATCTCAAATATCATAACAATTTATTTCAAAAGTACATAGATCATTTTTGTGCCGAATATGTTTTATTTTCAAAATTGTAGTATTTATTATTTTGCACAATGAGTGAGTAACATCTAAATTACCTGCATGTATTCCAACAGTTTGTTGTGTCATCAAATCATTACAACCAGGACATGTCCCAATGTTTACGATGTAATATTTGATGATGGAATGTGGATCATGGAAACCTTCCCAGAAAAATGACAGCTGTGTCATATTTGTTTGGTAATCGATATCTTTCTTATCTGGTCTTGATGTATCTTTTCGCCCGTCGTACACATGCCCAGTAGATGGTGGCGTTATGTCGTAAATGTAGGCCCACGTTGATTTGCTAACTGATAGGTGTGCTCTATTGAAAGCCTAAAATCAAAATATAATGTGAAATAGATTGCTATGTCGTAGTGAAATATTCCTCGACGTTTATAATAGATAGAAATAGTTTCAGAAATAGACTGTGGTCAAAGTTTTTTTTTAATGTACAGCTTTGTCATCAAAAGTTTAGAAAAGCAAGTTATTGTACTAACAAGTGTTTAGAATTTCATTCAAAACACATGTAACTAAAGCTTTGTAAATACGAACTCCTACCAAAACTAAAAAAATAAATATCTGGTACTGCAGAAATGTAAGCAAATCACGCTTCTGACGAGACGTTTATCTGAGCATTAAAGACCGTTTGTTACCCTTTTAATAAGCGTTTATTAAATTGAAGTAAGATTAATGGTATTTATCTTATATCTATTGGGAAATTATATATTGATATCAGCAATTTGAATAATAAATCTGAATTTTAAGCGACAATACACAACTTTTATCATTTGCAACTCATACATTTCATATAATAAAAAATGATATTTCAAAATAATAATGTAGATTATCAATTTAAGAAACCATTGTCGTACCTTAACTGTGATGAAATATGGATATCCTTCAATGATATCGTAACTTCTATCTTCTAACGACATATCACAATGTTGTAAAGTTTTAGAGAATGGTATAACGTCGTCCTGACCAGGAAGTGACCCTATTCCCCACATATAGTAATGAATTCCACTTTGAACATCATAAAAGACACCTTCCCAGCTGTTTAAAAAAAAATGTTTTTGCATTTACAACAAAAAGTAATTGGGGAAAAATATAAAACTTTGTTACAGAAATAGTTTTTTTAAGACCCAATTTACGCAAGTCTAGATATCAGATACATTTGAAACACCAATACATCAGGTTGAAGCCTATTAAAGAACATTAAAACAACGTAAGGCAAATTGCACACAGAAACAAAGAAAAACTTTGTTTAACCAGCTGGATGATGGTTCAATATGAAAAAAATCCCCCAACAAACCCAAACAGAATGCAGCGGCGGGTGCTCCAGGGGTCCACATGTATAAGGGAGGTTAAACTAACTAACGACGACTCTGAAATGATTTTAAAAACATAAAATATAGAAGATCCAAAGGGGACCATTACAGATCATAAGTTGAACAAAAACAGACTAAGACTGAGCAAGACGAACCTCATCACTTATTATAAAGGGAGGACTGCCTTACCCACTGGACCCCCAGACCAATGTTCCGCTATTAGTATCTAATTGTGTAGTATATCGGAGAAACTGAAATTCGAACAAGGAAAAAAATTTCTTTTAATAAGAAATCAATTCGGAAGTGAAACAAGGTTCGTGCAGATATGTTGATGCTCCGTTAAGAGAAGATTAGAAAACTGAGATGTCTAGTAATTGCATCAATCCTTAAACAGAATATGACCTATCAGTATTTATTTCAAGATTTGGTATATATCACAATGAAAACACTTTTTGTGAAAAAAGGTAAGGCTGGTTGTGATCTTCATTGTAGACAAAGGGGACAATTTCAATGTTATACAGAAAACCATCTTAATTGTTAGCAATATTCTAACAAATACCAAAACACCGTTAGACGATTGTTATATTTTTAGATAGTTCATCATCTAACCAGTCCTTCTGTGAATAAGTTTTTTCATTGCGTTCTGGTACCCATAAAACTAGAAATTCAGAATTATAAAGATAGTGCATAATTTTTCAAAAGTCACCCTTATATATAAATGTATTAATCATTTGGTTACCTATATGTTGGTATTTTGTGAACATGACAATGTTTGGATCCTGAAATTTGCAATAGATGCAGTAATTTAAGGCGACAGTAGTTTACCGATGTTTAAATCTCGAAACGGATCAGGAAAAGACAAATCATTAAACAGTATATCTAAATTGCTTTTCAACGACCGAATCAATACCTTTGCTGTTAAGACTATACATGCCGGATAGTATCATCCGAAATATTCGACATTAAACATTATTTATTACGTATCTATATTCCTAAATATTTATTTATATACTTAATACAAATTTCATTTACCAAGCTTCTATTTCTGTCAGATTTGATAAAAGTCTACCACTGATTGTTATGGATTTACTAGATAACTCTGGAGGTGTTGTATCAATAGTTATAGGATCTGATCGAATCTCTGTGCTTCGGTTAACAAAATCATAAGCTTAAAGGAAAAGAAAAATATGTTTTCATACACATGGTAACCAATTCGTCTTTCGAATGTCAAGAAAGAAATGAACAATCCTTGTGTCTTGACTTTGTCAGAGCTAGGTTAAATTTTCAGCGTAAAAAAACCATCGTTACAACAAAAATATATGTTTCAAATACACTCAAGCAAATAGTCTTGCCACTGATTTATATAGCTCAAAATTAATTGCTTTTCACAGGACTATTCTTCAACTTCCTATCCCTCACAAACGCACATCTTTCCTCTCAGGTACCTTGTAAAATGCACCATGTCGCTTGATTGAAGCTCCAAGGTTGCATAATTGTAAGTATGCTTAAAACTCGATCTCACGAACTTAAATGAACAACACAAGTCATCGTGACAGATTGTGTCACAGTATTTTTTTTTTATTAATTTGTGCCAGCACTTGTATGGGTGGTTGCTATCTGATATATAAAGCAGTTTATCGAATATACCTGAGTGCAGTGATGTTTAATATGTATATGTTAAAATGACGAATCTATAACTTTAGTGTTTGTTGTTATTAATGTTCGCTAAAAATGTAAAATAAATTCCAACCTGTCTATTTACTAAACCGTGTCCTGTATTTACGTAATCTTATACAAGATGAAAAATGTCAAATAAATTTTATAATCTTGATATGACTGATTACCTGTAACAGTAACAAAATATTTATGACCATTTTGAAGCTGTAGATCATGGAATGTCACATGGTTTGTCAATTTAACATTTTTATTATCGACAATGTCCACACCTCCAGCAACAGAGCCTGAAATATATGTATCAAAATCAAAACAAAATAAAGGTTTAGCTAGCTATAAAACCAGATTTAATCCACCATTTCCTTTATAAGGAAATGCCTGTACCAAGTCAGTTATATGACAGTTGTTTTCCGTTCGTTTGATGTGTATGAGCTTTTGATTTTGCCATTTGATAAAGGCCTTTTCGTTTTGAATTTTCCTTGGAGTTCGGTATTTTTGTTATTTTACTTTTTACACAAAATTCATAAACAAACTTTTCTTTATACCGTTTTGAGATGATAAAATTGTTATTTTTTTTTAGCAAAGCAAGACTTGTTTACCAAGTTAGGAATATGGCAGTTGTTATCAAATAGTCCGTTTCTATGTATGTTGGCGTTTGTTTTATGTAGCAGTTCGGTGTTTCTGTTGTTCCGTTGAATTCCTCTTATAGCTGATGTGTTTCCCTCGGTTTTGGTTTGTGACCCGGATTTGTTTCAGTTAAATCGATTTATGACTATCGAACAGCGGTATACTACTGTTGCCTTTATATACCTTAGTTAACCATAGTAACACAAGGATAAAATAGTAATAAAGTATGTAACAACAAACGTTATAAGCGTGTCTACAACGAAATATGCATGAGTATAACAAAATGTATAGCATATTTGAATTAATTATGTTTAAGATGGAGAAAATATATTGATCTGTCAAAACTAGAACGTTATAGTTTGCATCTTTTCTCTATTAGGTTACAGATAAACAGCTAAGGGCAAACGATACTGTTTTAAACAAGTTCTTTTGAAAACGAGTTTGCATATCGATTTATTTTGAACGGAGCAAGATATATAATAATTAAACGACAAAATAACGTTATTACCTATTGGATCATCTTGATTGTTTTAAGTAATACTCGTGTATTTCTTTCCAACAGAAACAAGTTCTTTTGAAAACGCGTTTGCATATCGACTTATTTTGAACGGAGCAAGATATATAATAATTAAACGACAAAAGAACGTCATTATCTCTTGGAGCATCTTGTTTATTTTAAGTAACACTCGTGTATTTCTTACCAACAGAAACTAAGTATCTTGATACTCCAGATGAGTGCGATGAGTATTTTGCCTCTTCCACGTCTATAAACGAGTCCCAGGTAATTAATATATCGGACGAGGTTGTCTACATTATATAAAACAATATTAAAAACAGTATATGATAACATTCTATTCGTTACCGTGTTAATAAAATTAAAATTCGGGCTATTTTGTTTTTTTTAACTAATAAAACATTCAATGAACTGAACATTTCTTACAAAAGCGAAAACTTTGATGGTAGGAAACATAATCTTTAGTGATGTTTCTTGTTACGGCTTAGGGAGATAAGCCATGTCTTTTGATTTTATTATTCCTTGTGGCATCCCAGATATTTTTTGATTTTTTGGTTTTCAATATTTTTCAAAATTGATTTGGTTTTCTGACAGTTTTATTTCGAGCACCAATATAAGTCTTTTATAAGAAACGCAAATATTGTGGACTAAATTATATGCCCGGTAGGATTATTACAACCCTATTAGCTTGTTCCAACATAAGTCCTACCGTACATCTTGCATACATCTGCGATGAGCATTCACTTCAGAGAAGCAAAATATTCGATTCAGAAAATCCTTTGATTTACTGCGGGATTCGTTGTTTTCAGTGTCAAAATATGTATTCAAAAATTTCAGTTCTGAGGCAAATGCTGTTAAGCATTAGGCAAATTGATTATCTTAAGGCTAAGTTAAGATTCCTTAAATGATATACTTTGAATATACATGTCCACATTTAGATTACGGTGAATATTCACAATCTTTCGGCAACAAATTGATCAATTGAAACGCATTTACAATTATAGTTCCTTGACACAAAAACAGGGTGATCCGAGATGGAATTTAAGAAGCCAGATTTATCCAAGGGAGAAATTATTTTCTTTGGCACATCAGTTATATTATACAAATAAGAACTTGTTATGATTGCCAATGAGACAACTTTCCAGCAGAAACCAAACGGCGTTAAAGTTAGCAACTATAGGTCACCGTACGGCTTTAAACAATTAGCAAAATCAATTACACATATAGTTAACGTACTTAAAAAAAAACATTTCCATAAATTACACCCCTTTCTCCCTTTTGACAATCTGGATCTACCTATTAAATATTTCATATACAATCATGCAAAATTACATGCCACTAATCTAAGTGCGCTGAAAACTAACTGCAGTTTTCATGAGAATTCGTCTACCATCTATCCAGTAACAATTATAAAGAAAAGGCGAAAGCTCTATACCTGAAATAAAAACTGTGGATCGCGACCTATCCAGACATTTCCAGGTTTGGGAGGTGTTAAATCTACTGCTACCCCATCACTGCATGTTGTTACAGCGTCTAATGATTCTCTCCATTTTTCATGTTGAATCACTGTCTCTGGTGCATGTATACAGACTGCATAACTTCTTCCGTGAATCAGATATTCCGTTTTGTTGAATTGTACATTTATGTACCTTTTATCTATTAATGAATTTAATAGTTTGTACAATATTTGATATAATACTAGTATTTTTAAATATGATCAATTTATTTAGAACTTTGCAAATCTATAATTTATGAACTTGTACTTCCTTTTTTACTAGATGCAAAAAATGTTTTGAATTTATATTATTATTCATTTTATGTCGGAGATTTTTTTCCGTAATTCAGTTTGATGATATTTCCAACTTCATGACTGAAATCATTTATGAATTTATTAATGTTTTGTAAATATTATAATACTCCCGTTTCTGTATTTATAAACTCATGTTGTCTTAAACATTGTAAATTACCTGTTTGGCCACATTGTATCATATCTAGATGCGAACATGGGTCGGATATAACAATATCTGTATATTTCTTATAAAAAGTGAAAGCATTATTGACTTTTACTTCAACAACTGCCCACTGATAGGATGAATGTCTTAATGTAGGCCATACAGCGGATAAAACATTCTTGTAAGGTGTGTAGTCAACATCAGTGTGAGTCCAAGATGTATCTTTTCCCAGATAGATGTCCTTTCCAATCCCGTTGTTATGTTTACTTTCATCTAATTAGAAAAGTAAGTTTAAATAAACAACATCATTAGGGTTAATTAAGTTGGATACACACAATTCCAAAAATCTAATAAAATTTGTTGTTTTGACAATCCGAATCGTTAACAATATTTCTACAGGGAATTAGTATAACAATTGTCATCGGTCATAGTTGTTTGGAAAGGACAAACATAAATTGCTATTGTAAAATCATGTCATGTGTATTCTGTATATACTTACGACTAGTTTGACACATGTAAGCAGTCCTAGTCACAAGTCATGAACTTGGTTAGGGATTGTCTGTACTTATATCTGAGAATTTCATCATTTAAAGAATTTTGTATTGACGGCATATTAATGCACACGTATTCTAGACTAGGAGTGATTTAATTAGAGTTTAATATATGGTAATGACACTTTTTTATAGTTTATGACCGTAAATATGTGTGCATTTGGTCATTGTTTGCTGTGATGTTTGTTTTATTGTATTCTTCCTTTACAGTGAAGGTAATGTTGATTCACATACATAAGATATAGTTCTGGAACTATCAAAATATCGTGTCATTAATCTCATCATCATATTGGTAACATTTTATATCCCATTTTATTATAGAAACCATGAAAATACAGTTTGGTATTTGGTATCGTTAATGTAATTGATCAGCAGAATTTGTACAACTGGTATACTTAAGCTTACGGTAGATAACGATGGGCGTAAAGTGATGAACATAAAACAATCGATAAGTCGCGTCGGTAATGAAGCGGCTAAAGACGATTCACGAAACCTTAAATACTAGCAATTACCCTTTACGGAACTTAAAGGCGTGCCGCAAGTAAATTATCCAAAAAGAACAATAAAAGACGTAGTTTTAAAAAAAATCAACGATTTGGTGTGGTGTTGTGTGTATTGATGTATGTTTGCGCAAATTTATCGATCGACGTAAGTACTCCAATTTTGCATCTGCAAATTTAAGCGAAAGATACCAATGGGACATTCAAACTCATAAGTCGAGAATAAAACTGACAACGCCATGGCTAAAAAAGAAAAAGACCCACAGACAAACAACAGTACACAAAACACAACATAGAAAAAGAAAGACTGAGCAACACGAACCCCACCAAATACCGGAGGTGATATCAGGTGCTCCGGAGCACCCGTCGTGCTGCTCATGTAAGTACAAACCCTGTGATAAGTCTAAACCGGTGGGTCACATTCGGATAAAAGGGGACGGGATTGTAGTTACGACAATTGGAACATATCCGTCGACATCTGTGAAACAGATATTCCATAATGGTCAACCAACTCGTGAGGGCGTTCATAAAATTTACGTAAGTTGGGGGATGTCTTATCTCATTGAATAAATAAAAAAAACTGTAACATTGTATAGGTTGTATAGTAGAATTAAGAACATTTATATGTTTCTTTCATCATTTTTTAATTCATACAAAATCTCAAAGACTAAAAGAAAAACATCTTGCCATGATGTTCTGTCCCTCAATAACCCACATTTTGCAAGTGTTTGTATCTCATAACTTGAATTTGACATTTAAAAACAACCTAATATTGAGGATCTGCTTCATATAAGGATAATATTCATGCAACTGCCAAAAGTAGTCGACTTAAAACTAAGGTCAATGAAAAACGTGACGTTTTCAGTTGCCCACTTGTCAATTTTCCATTATTCAGTAGTATTATTCCCTGTGCCCGATCGTTTGGCGTTAACCCATCTTAATTTGTTACTGACATGCATGTTTACATTATACAGATTTTATTCACAGGGTCTTCCTTATAACGCAAGATTGCTTCTTCGTGGTTTTGAAGAACAACGACCGATATCGACAATAAACGCGTTTTAAAATCACCATGACGATTTCGTTGACCGAACGATATGTCTGTGTTTAAACCCATAAGAAACAAGCGAGGTCATAGATTTTTAGTTATATTAAATGTTGTCTCATCTTTAGATATTCCGATTATGTACTATTCTCCAAGTTCATGCGTTAAATGACCTTTTTAGAATGACCCTGCTCTTTTGAAATCCTCGGTGGAACATTGACCATGATATCACTTTGACTTACACGGCGGGAGATGCGTGCATATCAGAACAGTTACCTTGTCGAAAAATCGGATAGTGAATTTACTTAATGGATTTAAGATATTTGAACATAGGTTAACTTATGTTGCTTCTAATGACGTATGTTAAACAAATTTATATACCTATGTGGAGTTATTATCTTTCAGAACGTCAGGTCTTTCTTTTGAAGAATCAACCCGGACGATACCAAGTTTCAATGAAATTTGCTTCAAGGCAGAAAATAATGACCTGTGTAAGGTCATTATTTTCCTTGATTAAAATGCAAACAATAATTTTCTTAAACATTTAATTCGTTTGATAGTATCGCGAGCTATGGATAAAGACATAAACATTCCTGTCATCTGTTTTTAGACTGAATTACAAAAAAAAGTCGTGAACGCACATTTTAACGTCTGAAACAAATAATGTGAAATTTTGTTAATTTATCGCTACAATAAAGGGACAATATTTGAGATGAATTTGATAATGCAAAACCCTTCATAACACTAATATAACAAACCAGATTTAACAAATTCATGTGTAGGATTTTGAAAATCGCATTGAGTCACACTGTATTGGAAATCATGCCTTGACCTATGGATATTCGTTTTTCGTGTTATATGTACATGTATCAGTATTTCGTGCTCTATTCGTGTCACTTCTGAATTTATTACATCTATAGGTACCTATACCTTTTACTCTATCAAATGATCAAATGGCCACGTGCTTTATGATAGGGTTTGGGGGGGGGGGTATGATATTTAATTCTGACTAAGTTCTCTGTTTAAAAAAATGTCATTCAAAAGTGAAAACAATAATTCTGAACAGCTCGTTAAAAACTGTTGAATAATAATCTGCTTTTCCGCGATGAAAATGTCACGAAAAAATAGAAAAAACATAGCATCCCCCTTTCTTAAAATAAGTTGAAAATAAATTACTTACAAAGTGACTTGTATTTTTCATACACCGTAACAATTCATTTGTGTCTTGCTTCATGCATTTAGTGATATTTCTTTGTAACTGGATAAAGATTGCTAAAGCTTATTATATCTAGATTAATAAGTGAGTTTTATTTCACGTTTCAAATGAGCCGTAGGGCATATTAAAACCAGTACGGATCAGAAAAGAATATCCCACTTTAGTGTGGTCGGTAAAATATGATGAAAATCTTGCAAATCTTTGCAGAAAATAATATTTTTTTACGGTATATAAGTCAGATAATGCATATTTTAAGGTTTTTCTTGTCGTATAACACACCGAGTATACGACAAGAAAAACCTTAAAATATGCATTATCTATAACAGAAACCTTTTGAATAGGTTTAAAATTCACTTTAAATATAAAAATAAACTACCTGATTCTCCAAATGCATCAATAACAATTCTAGGTGTTATTTCAGTGTTTCCATCTACCACTGTAACATTGCATTGTTTTACATCACCTGATATCACAGACCAAACTCCTGCTTTATTTGTCCCTTTGACATTTATTTGCTTACACTTGCTAAAATCTATTTTGTCTGACAACGGAATGTCAAAACTGAGCTGAAGTAGAAACAATATGCATATTTTTATACATGAAAATCTCCTATTTAGGAACAAGGTCAAAGTTTGCATAAAACCCAAAATGAACACTGACCGAAAAGGATGAATGATTATGGCCTGTATTGTAGCACAAATATAATGTGTGGAGGAATATGCATAGCCCTTTAAAGTTAACAACCAAAAACACTAAAAAGGGCAACTGCAATTAGTCGTTGACAGTTAATGCCGAAATGTTTATTTTATAATTTCAATTCACTAAAAACTAACATCATCTTTCAAAAATCCGTTTTACAATATGAAAACAAGCGAAAGAATATGACTGGAACTGGAAAATAATAAATTATAACTGTCTTACATGAGTTTTGTTTATCTTCATAACATTATTTACTACATTCCATTTTTCATACAATCCACCCACATATTGTCCGTCACTTATAGCCCATTCATATGTTCCTATAGCATTTAATGCCTCAATCCTGTCTTCTGTATCAGGGTCATACATAGCTGCAAATACAACTGTCATCTGAAATTAAAGCGGACCAAGATTATAGTTTCTTAAAGTACGATGGTTTCTTAAAAATGCAAGAAAAGCAAATAACTTTAAATGATTTTTGCAGTTTGTTTTTATGTTGTGCTGTTACTCCACTGTCCAATGTTATGGTGAGCATTTAGCGCTCGCAAACATGTCAACCCAACTACATTCTTTAGGTACCTGTACACAGGCAAGAAATTCAGTAGTTGTCGTTGTTTCATGTCTGTCATAAATAAATAATATATTCGTAAATAGTTTAAGGCCGTTAGTTTTCTCGTTTGAATTGTTTCACACTTTTTATGTCGGGCCTTTTATAGCCCACGGTATGGGTTTTTCTCATTGTTGAAGGACGTACCTTGACTTATAATTGCATATATATAGTTTATTAAACTCTGATGGATAGTAGTTTTTTTTTACATCATACCATGTCTCCTTATTTTTATATTTAACAAATTCAAAGTTTGACTGCCCCGTTTAAAATATAATTATTTTGAAAACATTATTTTTATTTTAATCATGTTTATTTGTCGAATATAGTTCAATAATTTTTTTCGGTACTTAGTTGAAACTTCAAATTGTTTTATTGATATGAAGAATGCAGGCATTTTCGTCGTTCATGTGGTTTTACACATGTATTGCCAGATGCAATTGAATATGTAATAAATAATGACAGAATATTTGTAAATCCCATTACGAATTTATGTACCTACTCTGATTCAGTTATCTCGTCAGTGATTAATGCCGTGTTCTAATATCTATTTTTGTTAAGAAACTTGGTTTATTGTTATCCCTCATAAATAAATAAAAAACGATTAAAGTTTGGGCTTGTGTGCGTAGTAAAAGACTTATGACAATCTATAGATGTTTATTTCTAAAATCTGGTGATGTTTATTTGCGATTTTATTTGTATTTACCCGTAAGCTTCTTGCATTAATGTATTTAGGAAAATATTGACAAGTAAAGGATGACAATCTATTATGAGATTAAAACTTAACCTTTTGACTCTCCAACTGAACATTTATAGAACCAGTGACAGGATAACTTGGTATTACAGTTACGCCATTGCTGCTTATTTCTGGGAAACATACATCATCAGCACACAGTTTTATCGTAAATCTGTATGTCAAACCAGGCTGTAGATCTAAATCAGTCACTATCACATGACTTTGGGTTCCTATGTAACTAAAGTCCCTGAATTTGAACCAAACTTCTGAAAGTATTTTAAAAAAAATTGAATTCAATATTCCAAACGCATTGAGACATAACCATCAATTTAACTTAAAATCATTATTTTCTTTTTACTTAAAATAATGAAGTGACTTTTCGGAGAGTCTCAACAATTTTTATATGAGACGAGAGGAACAATGACAAATCGTTAGAAGTAAAAATTTATTTTATATTACTCCAATGGCATACCTGCAACTGTAGATCTTTTATCGATGCTCCAGTATGCACTTCGGACAATGTGTTTTAAATTATTTGGAACTTCCCACTTTGATTGCAGAGTTGTTGTCGATATCTGATAGTCAATGTCAATTTCACAGCTAGGAACAATATCCTGAAAAACATTATAAATATTATAAAGATAAACGAAAAAAACTTAGAACATAGAACATAGAATTCCAAAGTATGATGTGTCCCTTCCTAAATAGAGGTGTTTGTATCTGTGTTAGTCAATCGTTATAATAAGATGGACTTATCAATAAAAGATAAGAATAAATGTTTTTTGTTTGCGGTTGCAAGAGGAGAGTTATAGATACTTTCTTGTCGTATACCACATCGAGGGGTGTCAAGATTGTTCAAATGAAAGCTTTCTTTTGTGCAATCCTGACATCCCAAGGTGTGTTATACGACAAGAAAAACCTTAAAATATGTATTATCTGACATATGTACCGTCAAAAATTATCATTTTCTGGAAAGATTTGCGGAAAATTGTATCCCATTTCAGCGATCACATTAAAGTGGGAAATTCTTTTTATGGTTTAGGTATGACCAAGCCTTACGGCTCAATTATAAGGGGAAATAAAATTCACTTATCTAGATATAAATGTTAGTTATCACTGTCCAGTTAATCACAATTGTACTGTAATTACATGAAGCAAGTGTTTCGGTATGTGAAAATACAAGTCACGCACTTTGTAAGTAATTAATTATATTAACTTTATAAAAGGGGTGTTATGTTTTTTCCCCTGGTTTTATGACATTTTTACAGCAAAAACAAATTTTTTTTTCAACAATTTAAAAGGAACTAACATTTTTTCCCCTTAAAACATTGAGAATAAGGGTAGAATAATATATATACAATTTAATTTCGCATAATTGTGCGTAAAATCCGTGTTCTGGTACTAACATTCCGATCTAATAAATGAAGTAAAGGATTCTTTCTGTACAAAACCTAAATGACATTTTTAAAGCGAAACACAAATTATTTTTTCAACAATTTAAAAGGAACTAACCTTTTTTTCCTTAAAACATTGAGAATAAGGAGAGAATATTATACAATTTAATTTCGCATAATTGTGCGTAAAATCCGTGTTCTGGTACTAGCATTCCGATCTAACAAATGGAGTGAAGGATTGTTTATGTACATAACCTTAAAAGAATATTCAAGATAACCCCCGATTGACAACAACACACGATTACAATTAAATGATGTTTTAAAAAACTGTAGTTTGCATTATAATCGGGGAAAATAATAACCTGACACGTATTAGATACAGAAGAAAAGTAACATGTACCATGATGTTTAGAGATATTTAGTCTTTAATAAAATAGGTATTTTGGGTTAAAACTAGCGCTTCTCAATTCTATCAGCTGTAAAATTATTGCGTATTCCTTTGGTACACATCAGTGGAGTAGGAGTTGATTGAAAAGTGGAGTAGGGGGGAGGGGACAACTTAAAGTTACAAGCAAAATAACAGACCTTTAATCTATATTTTCTATCATAATAGTCTCAAAATCTAGAATTACGTTAATGTCCTTTTTCGTAGCCAATTTATATTTTAATAAAAAAAAATTGCCAAAAGAGTGTGTGGGGGGTGGCTTATAGTATTGTTCATACCTTTGCAAGTTTGTAATGCAGGTATGGGCCCTTTTCCTGGCTCTTATGCACCTGCATTTATATATACCCCTCCACACCAAGAAAGAACATACGTACAAACAAACGTGTTTTGCCTCCTCCCTCCCCATACTGAAATTAGGGGCCATTGCTCCCTTCCCCGGCTCATACCCTCAGCTCCACAAAAATTAACAGCAAAAAATATGAATAACAGATTTAAGACACTTTAAAATTCAACGACGTATACAAATGAAATAAGAAAGAGTAATCAGACAAACGTAAATACAACATGTATAGATATTGTAAAAATCAATAAAATAAAGAACAAAATATATAAATATAAAAAAAGAAGCTGTTTCTCTTTTTATGGGGAATAATTGATTTTGTCTCGTTTTAAAGTTTTTGATCCACTGATTTTGGAAATTATTTTTTTTTTTTTGGTTTAATTTCATTCTTATTACAGTAACGTGATGTTCGGGTAGACCCAATTATTGATCACGTGACACACTATTTTTTCATGTTCCACCCCATTATCCAAAATGGGTGGTACAGTCGAACCTCGTTGTGTCGAAGTCGAAGGGACCAGACCAAAGTATTCGACTCATCCGAGGTTCGACTCATCCGAGGTCGAGTGTGTCGTCAAAATTTAAAATGCAAGAAATACGGTATGAAATTTGCGTAAACTAGATCATTGACTTTGAACAGTGTGCCTTTTTTTCGATATGACACACTTTATAATTGTGTATGCAATCGCCATTGTTGGTCCTTCATAATAATCAAACACACAAGAACAGATACAAATCATGCACAAATAAAACCAATAGTCTTCACACATATTTATAAAGGTCAGTCACTATAAATTATGAAATCATTCGCGGAACGAAATAAGTTCTGAACGGTCTCTGATGAGGGTGTCTGCTGTACATTAAATTATCATGAATTTATGATAATTGTCTTAATCCTTTATTTATTGTTATTAATGAGTTTTAATTCTAACGATTGATTTAATCTCGGCTAGTGTCATTTAAATTCGTTTCGTTTTTATCTCATGTGAAATATGTTCAACACTCTAAAGTTCCGCTTGTACAATCAACAAAGGTGTTAATTACCGGCAACTATAAACATGTCAATTTAACTGTTATACAAACAAGTATGTTTACTCAGCTTTAATCTCTTTTGAAAATGATTAGGTTACATAAGAAATACATCCGATTTGAGTTCTTATCATTAGGTCTGCATCTTTGGAAAATTCTTACTTTCGAACTTCGAGACATCGGGGTCAATTTACATTAATTTTATATTGACGGGACTATAAAATTTACTCGACATAACCGAGTATTCGAATCAACCGAGTTCGACTCATCAGAGGTAATTATGCATTGATCAAACGGGAATTTTACCGGGACCGAGAAATTACTTCGACTCATCCGAGTTTTCGACACAACCGATTTCGACACAACGAGGTTCGACTGTAGTTTATTTGACGTTGAGACTGATTTGGTGCTATCACAATTGGACTGAAGCAAATTGCTTGAACATGAAGAGGAAAGCGGAAATCCTCTGTATAGTTCGATTTAGACGATTTAAAAGATTTCAGCTTAACTGCTAAGCAAACAAAACCACGAGAGGTTTGTACATGGAAACATTTTTATGGTTGCAGTTACTCTTGCAGTCAGTAACATCGTAGACACTTTATTTAATTTCAGCATTTTGGGACATAGTTAGCTTTTTTATAAATATAATTTTATGAACACTTTTCATATAAATTATATTCACTAAACAAGGTAATTAGGTCACAAGGAGTACGATAAATTGACTATGAACTCACTGAATGCACGAGTGACTCTATTCATAAAAAGTGTCCATGTAACTTCATAAAAAGAATCGGTGTATACCTTGAAGCACTTTTCATTGTACTCTTTAAAAGAATGACCTATCGTTCTGAAAGAAAATAACTCCATGTAGGTAATAATATTTTTTTTGAATTATGGGTTAGACCATACTTGGTTATGTTTTATGAATATTTAAAGCCCGAGGCGGAGCCGAGGGTTTTAAATGTTCATAAAACATAACCAAGTAAATTGTCTGACCAATTTAGAACATAATTATTCAAACCTTCAAGTGACATTAAAAAAATCGTCCTTTCTAATTGTAATAATAAGACCTTAATATGAGTTCACTTTAATTGTTAACATTGTTAATAAAAGGGATGTAAATCATAAATTTAATGGTCATTTCAACAGGTGCAATGTAATAGCACTGATATAGTGTTTTGAGGACAAATAGGATGAATTGTTCAAAAATGGAGTTTTTTCTGCTTCAGGTAAATATTTATAGAAAATAAAAGGATATGGAGTAAATGTACATGGGACAAAATCGCACACAATACATAGAAAACATAAAAAATTATCAATGAACAGGGCTTTTATTCCTGTTCTTCATCTTGACAGTTGATTTAGGGTCTTCAACAATGAACGAATTTTACCTTTTTATATCTCAAATGATTTCATTTTGAAAAGCACATAATGTTATAAAAATTACCTTTTCGAAAAAGTATATTTGTATATTAATGATAAAACTTAATAAAAAGATAAAATTACTATCCTTCCGACATCAAATGCTTACTTTTTTATTGACGAATGTATTGTTTTTTTCCAAATTGCCTTTGCCTTATAGATCAACACTCATTGTTTTTTTTTACAAAGCATTGACGTTAAGGTCTCGTTTAAAAATTTGATTAAATATTATTTTATCTACATGTTTAAACCCCTTTTCATATTTTTTGTGTGTTCTATATATGTACCATTATATAACTTTTGCAATATTCAAAACTCAATTTAAGATGTTTTATAATTCTATTATCTTATTTTCATTTAAAATAATTTGACAAACAACAGTATTCATGATTTTTTTTTCTTTTGCTGTTTTCCTATGGAAATTGCCTCGGGGGTTTGTAACACACTTCGTTAGTGCAGTTAAGAGTTCACTTTCATAATTAATCTACAATGAAAAGTCATTCATGTATAGGATTTTATAGTGCATGGAAAGCCATGTACTATGAAAAATAGAAGGCAAAATACCGATTTTCCATTGGACGAGAAGGGGTGAGTATGTTCTAATATATGTAACTTACACGGACGTGATGACTTGCATTCAGTACAATTATATCTGCAAAGAAAGTTTACAAATATTAAACACATATATTATGAAAGACAATTACCATCATAATTAATTTTATTTATCAATTTATTCTTCGATGTAACATGGCAATTCGTCTTTACAGCTTTTATAGTCTACATGTATATATCTTATTGATAGGTGTCTTTTTGTATTTAAGTTCCTTCGTACTTTCTTGTTTACAAATTCGTCTTAGATTTCAATGACGATAAAGCGCATCGTACGCACGAAATTTACAAAGTGTTATTTTCATTTAAGGGCTTCGGTAAGGATTTTCCTCATTGTTGAAGGCTCTTTGCTTATTATGGATAATTGCTACATTGGCAATCATATCACATCTCCTAATTTTAAAATAGAAAGCTTTTGTTTATTGGTTGAATCAACAAGAACGCATTGATAATCAAATAAAGATACTAAACTTTTTAAAAGAGGTAGCGTCCCTCGTCTGGTTCATTATGGATGGTATTCCCCTTTATAAAATTATTTTTCGATTATCCACACTCCCTTTTTCTTAGCGTATCATTTGTATTATATGACTGTTAAAAAATTAATCTTAGAAATATCATGATAATAATAGAAAATGTCCCGTTCTATCACATATGTTTAAAACCATTAAAACCATCAGAGCCGGCTTTCACTCAATATATAGTATTCATATTATTTACCGGAACCGTACAAAATTTTTGTCATTGGGTGTTTTGTAACTATATTAAAAAAGATGTCTAATACTTATCACTTATCTTGAACATACATGAGCTATTTACATATAACATTTACCAAAGACGCGTTAGGTACTATTTCTTATATGTCCTTTTCATTTTTTAAACAACAATCTGCCAAAAAATGTTAAACTTTTTTTTATTCATCTCTCAGAAGTTAGTTCTGTAAAATGCGTACACAACCTTTAAAGAATTCGTACACTAGAAAAATAGACAAAGACACTACAAGATAGGATAAATAAAGATTAGAAATTAACTTACATGTGAGTTAGAAGAAAGAATGTCAAGCATAATTGCATAAAAACTCAAAAGAAACTGAAAAAAGTATGAACAATTCTCTGGTTTAAGTAAATGATGGAGTTACGATATTTTCAACATTTCCTCAATATATTGAGAATTTTAATACTAAGTAAATGTTGCAAAAATGACAAGGCTAAATATACTTCTACATTTCAACAGTAAAAGTTGATTTTTCTCCTAGTTTATCTCTCAGAATTTTCAAAGAAATGTAAAGTTAATATTAAGAAAGATAAATTCTTTCCAGACAAACCGGAACATAAGGGTCCATCATTAATGATAACTCCTGAAAGTCCTGTTTTGTTGTTAATAATCGTAACTCCATCAGATGATTTCCTGACAGAACCAGTCGTCGTCACAGCTTCAACTGTTGTATAATATGTCTACAAGTAAACAATGTGCTTGGTTACACAAAATAAGAACATCTATTCTATTTTTTATTCATCAATATATCTGCGTTGCGTTGATTGGCTGCTCAAGTCTTTCATAATATTTTAACAATTCAAATTTCACAAATTAGATGATAAGAGCTCATAAAATAAGAACTTTTATAACAATTTGTATCAATAAATATTAGGAAGGTAAGCAATATTATTCCAAATGCTGCATTTCTTAAACTGTTTCAGTTGTTTTACCAAGTGATGCTTCAAATACTAAATGAGGATATAATGCCTTTAAGGAAATATTTCTATATTTTAAGGAAAACATCACGAAGAATATAGTGCATACAGAAGGCTTCTATGTATTATGATTTTGTATTTAACCTACTAGTATTGGTTATAATAGAAATTAGTTTATAAGAAATAACATTTCCAAGCCACAACAAGTCTGCTAATGCTTCAAAACTGTACACAAAAAAAAAATGGAAATTCCTTTAAAAGTTCAACAGAGTTTATTGTATACATTTATCATTTTGATTTTACCTGCAAATTTGAAAGTGACAAGTTTTTAAATATGAATTGATTGGTTGAATCATCAAGGTTGTTTTCCGTAGCTATGTCACAACTCCCTTTCACGCTTCCAATGCAAACTTTGTAATGAAGCTGTAAGTGTGGATGGAAAAATCCTTTCCATTCGGTGGCCAATATATTGTATGCTACAGAGAAATCTATTTCAATCAGGTCCTAAAAAGAACAATAATTGTAGCTGTTCTCGAATATTTTGTAAGTACATTATATATATTCACACATTGTTGTCAATATAATTGAATTTTATACGACTGTCATATAATTGAGAGGTTCAGCTAGCTATAAAACCAGGTTATATCCACCATTTTCTACATGAGGAAATGCCTGTACCAAGTCAGGAATATGACAGTTGTTTTCCATTCGTTTGATGTGTTTGAGCTTTTGATTTTGCGATTTCCTAAGGGACTTACCTTTTTGAATTTTCTGTAGAGGTCGGTATTTTTGTTATTTTACTTTTTTATATCTAAGTTCATCTACAAAATTTAATTTTAACAAATTGTGGTAATCCTGCCATAAGTTTACAATGCATTACTTTGAAGAAATTATTTTTACTAAAATGTCCTTCGTGACTTTAAAAACTTTTAACGAACACGAACCGTTTTACGGTTATACATAATACAATTTTTATAAAAATACTGTGGTAATTTCTATACTTATTGAAGACATCTACTACAAAAGGAAAAGGAGTCAATTGATCATAAGAATAACAAATTCCGAGTTTTAGAACTGTTTCGGCAAAATTCAAAAAAAGATAACTAATATGTTAAAAAATTAAGAACATTATATATATGGCAACTAATTAGTCTGACGTATCAGGTAAGGCCTCGTTTTTTGCATTTTAGTGCAAGGTACAGACACAGTCATTATTTATACAGCTGGCAATAGGAAAAGTTAAAAATTATCAATTTTCATAAATTTTGACAACAAAACGTCATTCAGGATACTTATTGTCTACGTAATATTGTTTTGTCCAAATACGATCATTATGTTTTTTTTTAATTTATTTTGGCTGTCATCTCAAATATTGTAGCCGACGGATAAATTATTGAAACCGGGAGTCAATTTGGAATAGCATATAGTACCTATGTATAAATTTGCGTTGTAATCCTAACACACACAAAAAAAATATTAGTATTAAAATTATATTTTGTTTCTCCAAAAAAAAACTAAGTTTCCACCACAACTTTTTCCCAATTTCTCACAAATCAATTTTTGACACCGGAAATCAACTTGTAATAGCATTTTGAACCTATGTTTTGATTTTTTTAGTTGAAATCCTAGCAAAACGTTTTTCCAGAAAAATTACAACCATTGTACCCAAGAAAAGAAATAGATATTCCTCTGAGAAAAAAATATTGAAATCGGTTGGATAATCTTCACATATCATAAGATATAGAAGTGTGGACATTCATACAAAATAATTACTATAGGGAAGTCACGACTAGGCAGCTGACCTTTAATTCAACACAATAGTGTGTATTCGAAAGGATATCCGGTTTATCTTACTACAAGGTCAGTGTCGTTGTCAAGGGACTCTGAAAGTCCGAAAGTACTCTCCACCGTCAAATATCCAGAGCCTTGATATAATTAGAAGACAAGGATGGGAAATATATTGCAGTGGAAATGGATCCTCGACATCTGTAAATGCTGTCTTTGTCCAATTAGCTAGAAGTGTTCCATCTTCAAACTTCAAATTAATCTGAGAGCCACTAAATGTTGGTGGTGTAGTGTCAATTATGACCGGGCCGAAATTCTGTTTAAAAATAAGAATAATTAATAACTAAAGGAAACAGACACGATGCAATGTCCAGCTAGTGTAATTAATAATAACTTAATAATTCAATGAAAGTCTTTGATTCCAAGGTATTTCAGCAAGTGTCACGAAAACTAAACTTATATTCTTGAACATGAAATTGAAGTCAAGGTCAGATTATCGCTGTTAAAACATTAGCAATTCTCGTGGTAATCTTTAGTCCATAATTTATGTTAAACGAGATAACACATTTTACTTTATTCTCTATTTTACTTTTTCTTAATGGTGATGTTATATTGGCTCCTTCTTGTGGAGTGCTCATTTCTCAGTTGGTTCGATAGGAGTGTGTTTGCTGTGACTTCTTTTTTTTTTTATCAATAAGTGAAATATCATCTCACTTAGAATCTCTTACATCAAAAATAAAGATATCATAAATTTGTCAAATGCCGCTATCGATCGATCTTAGAGTGTTGGATGTTTGGCATGATTTTATATCTGTACTTTTTTTATCCTATCAGTATCTGAGAACATTCTTTAAACATGTATTGTTCATTATTGTTATGTGTGCAATTGTATTTTTGTTATTTGTAAAAACATTAGAATAGAGGCTATCCCTGTACTGATTTTAATGAAGGTTCTAACGTACATTTTGTTAGTCCACTGAGTTTAAACGGGAGAGTATAGAAATCTAAAACAAAAAATCCAGTTTCATCAAACCGTATTGTAATTTGCAAGTCGTATGAGAGCAAACAAGGTAAACGATGATCTTTTATCATACCTTAATGTTTTTTGTCATTAGGGAAAGAAAATGTTTTTATATAAAACAAAGTTTAATTCATATAAAGATAAAATGCTCCGCTGGGGCGCAGCTTGATACGACCGCAGAGGTCGAACCATGAACAGTTGGGGCAAGTATGGACACAACATTCAAGCTTGATACAGCACTGAATTTGGATTGTAATTAAATATTTGACACAGTATAGGTTTCTGACAAAGAATGAAAGTGGTCTAAGAACTTCAATTTACCTATTCAAACCATATCATTATTATTTGCTTTTATATATAAATCAGAAATAACAATTTAAAATGGAAAATTCTAAAGAAAAAAAAGGAAATAAAAAATCCCCCCCCCAATTTTTTGAACCCCCTTATGATTCATCACCCCCAAACTCAATCCCAGCCTTTCCTTTGTGGTATGGTACCTTGCAGTACAATTTCAGAGAGATCCATACACTTGAACAAAAGTTATTGTCTGGAAACTAGAAAAATGCTTGTTTTTTTGCCCCTTTTTGGCCCCAAATTCCTAAACGTTTAGGGCAATTACCCCCAAACTCAAACCCAGCTTTCCCTTTGTGATATGGAACCTTGCAGTACAATTTTAGAGAGATCCATACACTTGAACACAAGTTATTGTCTGGAAACTAGAAAAATGCTTGTTGTTTGCCCCTTTTTGGCCCCTTCTTCCTAAGCTTTTTGGTCAATTACCCCCAAACTCAAACCCAGCTTTCCCTTTGTGATATGGAACCTTGTAGTACAATTTCATAAAGATCCATACACTTACACGTAAGTTATTGTCTGGAAACTAGAAAAATGCTTGTTTTTTTGCCCCTTTTTGGCCCCAAATTCCTAAACGTTTAGGGCAATTACCCCCAAACTCAAACCCAGCTTTCCCTTTGTGATATGGAACCTTGTTGTACAATTTCATAAAGATCAATAGACTTACACACAAGTTATTGTCCTGAAACTAGAAAAATGCTTATTTTTTGCCCTTTTATGGCCTCTAATTCCTAAAATTGTGAGGGAATTACCCACAAAATCAATCCCAGCCTTCCCTTTGTGGTATGGTACCTTGCAGTACAATTTCAGAGAGATTCATACACTTGAACACAAGTTATTGTCTGGAAACTAGAAAAATGCTTATTTTTAGCCCCTTTTTGGCCCCTTCTCCCTAAGCTTTTTGGTCAATTACCCCCAAACTCAATTCCAGCTTTCCCTTTGTGATATGAAACCTTGTTGTACAATTTCATAAAGATCCATACACTTACACGTAAGTTATTGTCATGAAACTAGAAAAATGCTTGTTGTTTGCCCCTTTTTGGTCCCTTATTCCTAAAATTTGGAGGCAATTACCCCCAAAATCAGTCCCAGCATTCCCTTTGTGATATGGAACCTTGTGATACAATGTCAGAGAGATCCATACACTTACACACAAGTTATTGTCATGAAACTAGAAAAATGCTTGTTTTTTGCCCCTTTTTTGCCCCTAATTCCTTAAATTTGGAGGCAATTATCCCCAAAATCAATCCCAGCATTCCCTTTGTGATATAGAACCTTGTGGTACAATGTCAGAAAGATCCATACACTTACACACAAGTTATGTCTGGAAGTTACAAAAATGTTTATTTTTGGCCCCTTTTTTGCCCCTAATTCCTAAACTGTTGGTACCATAACCCCCAATCAATCCTTACCTTCCTTTTGTGGTATTGAACCTTATGGTAAAATTTCATTGAGATCCATTCACTTAAACTAAAGTTAGAGTGCGAAAACTAATGTGTCTTCGGACGACGACGACGACGACGACGACGACGCCAACGTCATACCAATATACGACCACAAAAATGTTTTTGCGGTCGTATAAAAAAGGTTATTTATAGTTATATATAGTCATAAGAATTGGTTCAATCGCAGGTGTTTCTGCTCAGTAGCACACAGTTCAACAGTCCAAATTCCGTTACTGGGATCTCTATAGGAAACATAATATCAATTGGCCTATACTGCTTGCAAGTAGTATATAATCATTATATTTTCAATCAGTACACTCTTTTTAACATCTTTTAAAGAAATTAAAGTAAGCATTGAAATACGAAAAATTAAACATAAAATAAATTATGAGCTGTATTGAAATTGATTATTTTACCTGAATTCCTTCAACTCTAGATTTGCTAACAGCTTTGATAATGATATGAAATAGTGTTCCTTCTGTCAGATCAGGATAATTTATTCTAAAATGTCTGTGATGCTTTGTTGAACGGAAAGGTAAAATATCTGGAGCAGAATTGCTCCTTGCGGATGACAGTCCTATCTCATAGTCGTAAATCAGCTGATCGTCAATATTCGAGTCCCAAGTCATACTGAACTACAAGACATAATGTATGATAATTGAGCAGATTTCTAGAGTTCAATATTTTCTATAATTTATGTAATGTCTTTTCAAAAAATCACATATGCCGAATTTCTTGCATTTGTAGTTGTTTTTTAATTCACTTCACAAAGTCAAAGATAAATTAAAAACATTGACATGAACTTAATGCCAGAACCTAAATCATGTCTGGGATTAATTGTACGAGATGAATTTGGTTCCAATACTTATAAGAAAAAAGGTATTATATGTCATTCTTATATGTATATATCTAAGTTTAATAATTGAATTTAATACAAGCTGCTTACCTTTGACGATCTAGGTAGCACAGACAGAAATGAATAATCAAGAGAAGGAATTTGCGTACAATCTATGCCTGTATTTTCATTCTCAGGAAACAACTGAATGTCGTCCACCATTGTGGTGACAGCACTAACAAAAAAATCAAATCATCGTTGATGTTGTGATCCAGCCAATATTGTAGCTAGTCTGACATTTTTTCTGACTTCACTTTCAATATTATTTTTTATTTCCCTTTCCATCATTTTACTGTAAAATTTCTATTTTATAGCCCAAAGATAGAGATTTTTGCAATATTGATGCAATTTTTTTGGATATTTTAGACAGGGTCAGATTTTTTTTAACATTTCTTTTCAGAAACATTTGCAATTTAATAATTTTGACTAGAATGGAAAGGGAATTCTTCAAATGAGTAGTATATCTTTTACATCCATTAATGATAATTGGCTTCATAATTTCCAGAGAGAAGTATTGACAATGTACTTTCTCAACAACAACAAAAAAAAAACTAATTCTTATCTAAATTGGTGTTTATTCTTCATTAAGAAAAAATACATTTTCTGTATTCAAATATACATTATGTTTTGTTATAAATTATGCCTTTAGCTTTCTTAATTGAATTGTTTCATATTGTCCTTTCGGGGTATTTTATAGCCGACTATACAGTATAAGGTAAGAGTTATGAAATTTTGTTTATTGTAACTTAAATAGACCTTAATTATTGATTTATGTCAGATGATTATGACACTGATTTTACAGGTGAAATAAAATCTGCTTGCATTTTTCATACATATTTTATCTTTTGTCTTTTCTTATAAAAACATATAATTAATCATTCAGCTTGCACACAAAATTAACAGAATAAATGTTTGTAGTGTAGATCAAAATAAATTATAGGTATACTATTGAGGTCAAGAATTTGTGTATTCAATTAGAGTGAAGTTGATTCCAATCAATACTTACACTTTTGAGTGTAATTGTTTGAAAATCATGACAGTTGATAATCATACTAGTATTGTATCAGTACTCTTACTTGACTAAGAAAAGGATTGGAATAATAGCACTTCAAAAACGTGTGGGAATTAACTTTGATATCAATACACATCTCTTTCCAAATTTTATTCAATAACTTACAAGAAAATTGATAAAATACTTTCAAAATCTTATCAACTGCCTAAATTTGATAAATCACTTTTTCACATTAATTAACAAATGGCAGTTTAATATAAATTTTGATTTACAAAGGAACTTTATGCAAGTGTATATCTAAAATAAAGTAGCTGTTCGACCAATATTTTCTAAATTTAAGGGCAAATAACATGTCAAAAGTTGACAGTTGAGGTTTGAAATGGTGTATAAAAATTCTGCAAATCATAAAAACACATAATTAGTTTCTTGATATGTCTTCGACTTTGAATTCTGCATTATCTCAAAATCCGTAGTGATCACATAGATACCGCATGGCTGAATCAAAAAGGGTTTATTTCAATTTTTGATTATATTTCATAGTTCCTTTCAGCTTAGTTGTTCTAACATCATTGAAATTTGATAGATGTCTGTACTCATTTATATATGACCCTACTTACTACTTACAATGCCTAAATGTTTTTACATTCATCAAACGTGATATTTTAATTATCGATATATCGTCATTTTAACTCGTACGCCCACAACATTGAGTTGTAGAAGTCAAATATATGTAAAAGCATCAAAATAAAAAAAGCGACCAGCAAAACACCTTATGTAGTGTTTTAGTAAGGCCTTGGTTAGTACTTAATTGTGCAAAAACCTATGTGTAAAATTTTAACTTTAAATCGATTTCTTAATATAACCGTTTGCCTTACGATACAGGTCTGTATTAAAAAGTTCAGATTATACCATCCTATGCATTTTCGATAATAATTACATAAATTTTTTTTCCCAATTTTCACGAGCCTGATCATGATTCTCATCATTCATCTTTCTCTGTTATTTTACTTTTAAGTATACAAAATAAAGGTAAATGCTTGTTCTTTTGAAAGTTTTATGTTGTCTAATCGTAATAATTAATTTTTTTTCCTCTAAATTAATGTATATATGATTATTATTCGAGATAAGAACTATAGGTAAGCATATTTTTAAATTATGTATGTCATATCACAAGTCATGAACTCTTGTCAAAAGTAATATAGTTTGCGATATTATCTTAATGTTTTTGTTATTTGGATAATGGCATAAGTTTGCTGTTTCTCTTAAATGTATTTCTAGAGATTGAATTATTGTCGAGACAACTGTCTGTTTTGGAAAGCTGTGCGTTTCCTTCTAGATGTCTTTTGGTACCTTTGTCATTAGATTGCTGCCTCTTCGACGGATACCCCATATTACCCTTAATTCATATATTCATTAATTGCGGTACTATTTTGTTAGAGTAGTCATGTAAAGTCCACACCTGCAAAGAGATGTATCGTTAATCAAGCTCCTAGACAAATTTTCCCCTATAAGCCATATGTTGTTCCTAGCGTCAGTGACGAGTCTAGGAGCCGTCCTGGCTCCATCAAGAACTACATTCTTTACTCCAGGTTTTTCTGACGTGATGGTAACACCGTCAGAACAAACAGCACCAGAAGCGTCGTTTGCACTGTTCATGGCTATAACGGTAATGTGATATAGTCCTTCTTCTGTAGCATCATAACTTGCAATTGTATCATAAGTTTCTATACCCTGGCAAAAGGAAAAACTGATAATTACAAAAATTCATCATTTGGCAGTTATAACTAACACATCATTTATTATTATTTTATTAATAGATATTTTGTTTTTATGTATGGTATTGTATTTGACATGATATTTTCTTTTGACATTATATTTCAATATTCTGCAATCTGCTAGAAATTTATTTTAATGTCTGAAGACAGTTAACTTATATTTCGGTTTGTCATGAAAATATATTTATACCTTAATATAAACTGATGCCGTTCTTCTATAACAAATTGATAATCAGTTGTTTAAAATAGCCTGACTCGTACGCTAGTTTTATATAAAACTGTGGTATATATCTTGGACAACGAGCAGTCAGTACACCTTGGTAGTAAAATATTATTCATTTTGTATTTGTTTTGTATATGTTTTGTTTTCTTTATTTCGATTTTTGTTACATATTATAATGCACAATGAGTAGAAGCTGAATTATTGCACCAAAATAAAGAAAATATTTTTTTAGTCAATTTGTTTGTGTTTTGTCCTTTTCCTTACTTTTTAAACTATGTTACATAGTATCCGGCCATTTTTGAGAAGTTGTAGTATCTTGAAATACGATATTGCCATCCCGTTTCAAAAACACAAAAAATAAACAAGATGTGCATATTACAGAATTGATATTAAATAATCCGTCATTTTAAGGGCATACGATACAGTTTTGATCCCACGGTGATTTTTTTACGAAAACTTGCATACAAGCTATTTTTCACCTAGTCAATGCAAATATGTAAAAAAAAATATACCTTCATGGGCTACTTTCAGAGATAAATAGGGTCGAAATTTTAGACATTTACTCAAAATTTCGTTTTTAGGAACATTTCTATCCTTTGGATAGACATACCTAACGTTTTTGTTTCAAAAGATAAACACAATAGGATTTTTGTAAAAACATTTTGAAAATCTCTTTTATATAAGTATGCTCTAAATTTGTTAACAATTCTTTGGAAATGATTAATTTTTATCAAAGTTTCAGGATTTTAGGAAAAAAACGAAATTTGTTACTGTATACTTATCTTATTTTAAAAAATCTCATCGGTGACTTTTTCATAAAAATTGGTACAAATAATAACCATACGTAATCAATCCTAATGTCATTTTAAGAAAGAGGGATCCATGAACTCGTTTTCAAGTTATATCAGTCTGAATGCTAAAAATCGGTCGAAAAATGCATCTTTTCTCGATACGTCGCAGTTTGACGTCGCGAAAAATAACATTTTACGTTGGCAACGTCATTACCTCCCCTGTAACTGTATCGTATGCCCTTAAGGATTTGAGATATTATATTAATTGGATAATATACCTCAGTGCTTGAAATTAAGTCTTGTTTTGTCCAACAGTAATTTGCAATAATATATTTGTAATATTGCACACCACTCTCAGGGTCAAAGAATCCATCCCAGTGGAAGTCCAAGTGATAATCTTGTTGATAATCTATCTCTGGAAGTTCATATAACCCGTCATGAACAGTTCCAATCTGTGGGGGACTTGTGTCTATTGTTATCTAAAAAAACATTACAAATTGATATGAAATATTTGTATATTCCATCTCCAGGAAATGCTAATTACAGGACCGGTACAATTGCTTTAATTTGATAAAGATACTCATTTATTTCTCGTGTTTTTCAGAAAACATTCTGTATACATTTTTTAGTTCAAACTATACTTCTTCTTCTTCTTTCGGAAGTCCACCTTATTTGCAGGGTCACCGCATTAAAAATATTTTAGTTTATATTTTTAAAGATGTGTAACTTTAAAAAATTGTTATTAGATTAAGATATTTTATCTGTGTTAGGGTAAAATAAAATAAAATAATAAGGATAAAAAGGATAAAAGGTAAAACTTGTATATACACTCTACATCACAGACTGACATAAGCTCAAAACACTATATTTTTAAAATTGATAAAACTTTAATTACTGCGTTCAAAGTGTCCAATAGTATAAAAATGATTAATGTGATAAGGATTATTTATGTCAATATGATGTTTTGTATACATCAATGAGAGCAACCAAACACCATTAGGACAACTGAATGTTTATAATTAGAGACAGGCACATAAACGTTAGTCGGGATTAAGATAGGTTCTTTCCATCTTAGACCCGCTTCTTCTTGGTATCGACTTACAAGAGGTATGTGAAATAAATAGATAATACCGTGAGGCTTTATCAATTTCACCCCCGTATCAATCTGACACACCAATATAATCCCAAGAACTCTGATGATGGTTCATACGATGTGTGATATTGAAAAAAGCAATATCATTTTCACTTTATTTTATACCTTATAATTGATAAGGCGTGGATATATCGATGACGTGATGTGATACTGATTAAGGGTTTGATAATGCCTTTACAATCGTGACTGCTATCGATATCACAGCGGATGGCTGACACAACACGATTGCTATTGATTGTATTGAACATACCATTTACTACTTCTGCTGTTGTATATTAAGATTCATTTCATATAGCAACGTGAAAAACAGTACAGAAAGACACGATCTTATGCAATTCACATAACAAACCTACCAGTTTATTCCTATTTTAAACTATAAATAAGTAAACTTGTGTTCATCCCAAAAACCCTATTTGCAATGAATGATGCAACGTAGTATTGATTTTACGAAATATAGAAAACGAGATGCGAGTATTTTATTCAAATTTCTAATCCAAACAAGAATAATCTAAAAGAAGTGAACATCTCTTTGTATTACAAGTTAAGCATCTTTTCTAAAACAAACATTATTTTCGATTAGTGTTTTAAAAATCACAACAATAATTATCTAAACTGAAATATTAAAAAGTAAAGGTTTATTAACGTAGCTAAGGGTTTGGATAATTTCTTTGAAAACTGTTTACTTAATTTATATGCTCTTCATCGTATATGATATATTTCTTGCGTAAACCATTATTTGCAAAATAAGTTAATTTATACATTCCAATTTATTTTCCGTAGAAGAACCATCTTTTGAGGCAGCGCTTGACTACCTATACATATCAATTCTTATGTACACGGTTTTATAAATGTAATTTCAGGCCAATAAAATTTATAATATTTTTTCAATGAGATAAAAGAACAGTTTCAGTTTTACCTCCCTTTTCTAGGTTTTCTTTTGATTACATTCAATGTGTATCTTTGTAAGGTCTTCGTTTCCCACAACTGTCTTTAATCAAGTAATGTTTGCTTTAAAATACTAGTTTAAAATACCTTTGTTGTTAAAACTGATGTGAGCATGGCTTTGTTGACGACTGTCACTTCTATAAAGTAGTCGGAATCGTGCACCCCTTTATCATTACCGGGTATCAGTCCTGCTCCGTTTACTATATCTGGCTGAATATGGAAATGTCTGTGAAAGCATCCATGGAATAACGTACAATAACAATCGGGTCCACGTGTAGAACTTTGATATTTGTCTTCACAGAATGTCATGTTCTGAAAAAAATGGTTACAATTGGCTATTAAGGCTTGTAATTTATAGAAGGTAAACGGTCATATAAGCTGCATGTAAACTACTTATTCGCAGATTGAATATGTGTTCATATTATGTATCTGCTTTGGTGCCTAATTTACAAGTAAGAGAACGCCTTGCATTGTTATTATCCGAAACTTGTATAGGTGAATTTATAATTACCGAAACATCTCCTTGTGCTGTCACATGAGAGCTTCCATGAATTATGTCTGATCCGGTATAATTATCATACAATTTCCAATGTACGCTATAAATTCCACTGTGATAATCAAATGTGTCCCATTCAAACCTAAACAAAAAGTATTGATATTAAATAAAAGGTCAAATATAGTTAAGAATAAACATTATGCTAAAACAGCGAACCAAGTTAGAATAATATGGCATGGGACTGCCGCAATAATTCAGTCTGCGTCCAATTTCAATGGAAAGACCTTTTGACTTTGTTCTGATTTAAAATAAAATTGAGAATGGAAACGGGGATGTGTCAATGAGACAGCAACTCGACCAAAGAGCAAAAAACAGCTCAATTCCACCAATGGGTCTTCAACACAGCGAGAGAATCCCGCACCCGGAGTCGGGCTTCAGCTGGCTCCTAAACAAAAATGGGACTAGTTCATAGAAAATGGACGTCACACTAAACTCCGAAACATATAAATGAACCGAAGTTGAAAAAAAAAACATACAAGACTAACAATGGCCAGAGGTTCTTTTTCTTTTCTTCCTCCACTTTTTTTTAAATGTTGAGCAGTAAATGCGCTTTTGATACTTTTTTTTCTGCAAAGGTTTGTCACTCTCTTTAGACGTTCTGTTCAATTCGGACCGAAACAATCCGGTTGTATGTAATAAGAGTTATCTCTCTTTTTAAGTTCTGCATAAATGGTTTGTCGGTGTAACTCATAAACAACAATCCATAGACACCTTCAGTCCTTTAATATGAAGTTGTACGGAAAATTTACTTCAGGGTCAAAGGTCAAGGTAATTTTCTTAATTTTGAACGTTGCCTGCTATCGCAATTCCTCAAAAACATTAAAAATATAAAATGATGGTTATGTCAAATTGGAAGTTACGAGTTAATACAACTCCGAAACAAAAGTAAAAGTAAAAGTAAAAGTAAAAGTCAACTATTTTCTCTCCTTTGAAATTTAGAATACGCTAGTAGGATAACTTCGTCATCATACATTGGAGTCTTTTGATTTAAGGTCAACCGAAAGTGAGTCTTGTGTAAACCAAAATTAGCTGTTTTTGCGCTTATTTCGTGTAATAGAACATAGAAACTATCATATGAACCAAAAATAAACCAAATGTTACAAATTATCTCTCTTATTCTAAGCAAACTTATATAGAAAACATATATTAATATATGCTATAATGACACCGGCAGTAGCATTTTGTACACCAAAAGTAGCCTATATTCGTATCAGTTTGTGTTTATTTATGTTCACAAAAATCTTGGATAATATGTTTGTTATCATGTTAATTTAAAACTTTTTTTTATCAATTTCTTTGAGCAAAACACGCGATTCAGGAATTATGAAACCAACCAAGCCTTAATTAATCTAAGTTACATGAAGTTACATAAATACGACAGTAGTTTACCAATGTTCAAATCTCGTAAATCGATCAGGAATGCACAGTCTATAGCTTTCAGAAACAAAAACGAAAAAAAAATCTGAAAAGTGCCGATAGAAAAAATAATTCTGAACCATGTCTGAGAGCGAAGCCATGTACGTTTGCATACGATAGCGTCGCAAACGAATGAATGTAATACAGCTGGCATGATTCTGATTGGGACTAATGGTCTACCAGTACGGTTCTCATGCCAACAGTAAATAATAAATCAAAATAAAATATACAGTTGCTTTGAATTTGCTTTCTTAATATTTAGGAACAAATGTGGCAAACTTACAGGTTTTGATCTACATACGCAGGAAAAAAGAAATATGTCCAACGTAACCTGAACAAAAAATATGATGTACACAAAGAGAATTTGAAAAACCAAAAAGAACATTTAAAGATTCTTAAATACCGCACATGTGCAAGATCAACTTTTTTCTTTTTTTTTATTCAACAACAGTATTGCACACGCTGTTAACAATTACTCCACTGACACAGCTATCTCAGTGAAGGTCCCTGTTTCATTAGTACCAGAAGTTGAGGTATTCTTCAGGTAGATAAACTGCATATTGTTAGTCGTTTACAAAATATTAATATAACATCAATAGATACATAATTCTATTATATTTTAATAAAGTATTTATATCATCTGTCGTTATTTTCGGAATTTCATAGTTCATCCGAGTTTGGGATGATTTATAACTTATTACCAGTTTCCATGTGTTTTCGGATAACGGTTTATTTTAATCAATATCGAAAAAGATTGTAATTAGCTTTTTCTACATCTTTATTTAGGTGAGACAGTTATGATTTGAAAGATTAATAGTCATACGGTAATCGAAAAACAACTGTGCTGTGTTTTTTGTAATGTATATACATCGTACCAGATTATATAAATATTGCAATGTCTATCATGCATCATAATTATATAAATACAAAATTAGATAATAAATTAATTAATACACAAAGATAACATTACTAACCATGTTATCAGTTCATACAATTCAAATACACCTAAATATTTTTTCTAATATACCTTTTCTTTCATGGTTAAAAAATTTGTTTTGTAGAATGAGCCTATTTCTAAGCTCAGTTTTAAAAACAGAAAATACATTAATATTCTTTGTTCTAAACTCTGACAGATAGTGTATTTTGTGAATTGAAAACATAATCACTGTAAGAAAAAAATTAATACCATAGTATTCTATATCACTTATTTTGTAACCCCAAATCAAATTTTTTAGGGTTAAAATGTGTGTTCCAAGTTTAACTTTTTCTAACAGATTAAATATTTCTTTCCAAAATTTATCAAGAAAGTGGCATGTAATAAAAAAAGTGTTCATAATCTTCTGTAATATTACAGTGATTACAGTCTGAGTTTGGGCATATTTTCCATTGTTTTAATAAAACTTTGTTTGGAAGAATACAATGTAAGAGTTTCCATCTGAACATTTTTAATTTATTTTCTTTCAAATAATTATGAACAAATTTTAGTATATTTTGAGCTTTATTTTCTATGTTCTCAAAAATTAGTAGTCTCTTCCATTTGTAAAAGCCAATTGGTATTTCTTTATCTTGTTCTAATAATATTTTGTAAATTTTACTTGTTTCTAATTTATTTATATTTTGTTTAAAGTTATCTTTGTCATAAATATACAAAACATTATCTGTTAGTACATTAGTTGTTCTTGAACAGTTTTCAGCTAATATATTAACCCATTCTTTTGGTATAGCTTTTTTTAATTTTAAAAATTCAGTAATCCAGTTTGTCTTTTTATTACGCTTTTGTCTAATAAATCTTTCTGTTATATTTCTAGATTCATCAATGATATCATTTATGTATATTATGTTGCTATCTATCCAGTTTTGGAATAATAATGTTTTTTCCTGAAATTTTATCCACTGATTTCCCAAAATAACTTGTTGTCGGATTAGTGTGTTGTTTTTTTTGGGGTATTTATTATTTTTATTATTATTTTTATTCTTAATCCAAACTTTGATTATATCAAGATAAAACTCTGGTAGTTTTTTTTTATATCTGGTATTGAATTTGCACTATCCAGGTTCATTTGCAATATAAGAAGATTGTTTCCGAATTTGTTTAAATAAAATTTTGGTATTACAGTCCAGTTTAAAAATTGCTCTGCATTTAATCTTTTAATCCAACCTATTTTTATTGTTTCTATGTATTTCTCTAAATTAATCATTATTAATCCCACATTTAATTCGTCATAACTTAGTACAGAACGTTTAACCTTTTCTGTTTTGTTATTCCATAAAAATTCATATATCATTTTTTAAAACTGGTTTAAATACTCTTTATCTATGGTCGAGACAGATGCTAAAAATGTAATATTAGGAATAATTAATGATTTAGTAACTGTGATCTTTCCTATCATGGTTAAGTTTCTCTTTTTCCAATTAAGAATAATTTTTGCTGATTTTTCTAAAAGTTTTTCAGCATTTAATCTTTGACACTCTTTGTTATTATGACCAAAATATATACCTAGGCTTTTTACAGGTATATTTGTCCAGTTAATATTTTTCATGTTTATCTTTGCAGTTTTTTTGTTTCCCAAGCCAAACACCCTCAGTTTAAGCTCTGTTTAATTTCAACCATGACAATGTTCCAAATGTTTCAATCATATTAAGAGCTTTTGAAATATCTTGTTTTGTTCAAAGAAAAAGAGTTGTATCATCTGCTAGTTGACTAATCTTTAATGTGTGAGTTTTACCATCAAGTTTAATTTCAAAGCCTTTGAGGTCGTGGTCTTGTCTGATCCTACTTGCTAAAATTTCAATATATAGAACTTTAATCCATTTCAATATTGAACTTTTGAATCCAAATTTTTGTAAAGCTAAAAACATGAAATCCCACTCTAAAGAATCAAAAGCTTTTGAAAAATCTAAGAAAAGTAAAGCTCCCTCTATGTTGAATGTTTCTGCAAAATCAATGATATCTTGAATTTGTCTAATGTTATATCCAATATATCTATTTTTAACATACCCGTTTTGATCCCCATGAATAATTTGTGGTAATATTTTACTAATTCTTTGTGCTAATGACTGAGCTACAATCTTTGTAAGATTAACTTTACTTGAGGTAATCTGAACCGTAGCATCAGAAACAAATAAGGAAATAACAGGTCCCGTTTTTCAGTTATGTTCATTGCGTTGAATACTCAGAACGTCTAATTAAAACAGGTCAGAGGATGCCAGAATAGTCGTCTGATCTGTAAAAGTGCCTATTGTGTCCTATTCCTGATTGTGACAATTTGAATAAGTGTGAATTTGTATTGCAATTAATGAAAGAAAAGCAGTAAATTCTGGCTTTGTCAAATAACCCCGTCTTGTTCCTTTTGGAGTTCATGCGTTTCCCCCATTTTGTCTTTCTTACATCGGATAAACTAGTCATGCTTCCAATTTGACATATATTTATAATTTTAAAAATTAAAACAATTTCTTAGTAGACAATTTAAGAGTTGATAACATCTCGATACAGCTTATCCGATTTATAATGCAAAAACTTGAAGTTAAACTTATTTTTAGCATATAAACTCTAAATAACAGAAAACGTATTTTCATTTTATGATATTCAGTATAAAAACACATGTAACACCTACAAAAGTGATGAAAAATCTTCCTGACGATGAACATATAATTCTGTTTTGTTGTCATAGGTCAACCAAAGTCTTGTGATTTCAGGAGCTGTAGTATCTTTGTAAATTGTTGTTGTATCCTCTGTAAATTTTCCAACTACGTCAGTAGCTTTTACACTAATATCTAATTTTTGCCCATCTTCCCATATTACATCCAATACTTTACCCTCCTGTAAGATGTCTGGTACATTTGTATAGCCATCGGATGATTTAACATCAGGTCCACTGACTGTATAGTTGATGTCAAACCTGATAACACCTGAGTATAAAAGACTTGTATTCAAATATTTAAAAAGGGAATAATATTAAATATTGAATCAGAGTGAACCATCAAACCTCCTGCGTGTGATGCTCATGTCTAGTTAACATGCATCAGGAACACTCAAGGTCGCATTGCCGTTAATGATATTTTCGATTAATCCTTGAAACATTGTAATATTGAACCAGCTGGAGCGACATTATATTCCTTTATTGGCATTTATGTGATAGTCTTGTATTCAATTTAATAAATTAAATTTCTTTTTCATAATTCTTTTCTCTGTTTTCTCTCTGTTTTCCTTCCTCTCTTTCTCTCTCTCTCTTGTTGTTATTAATATGTATGATAAATCATAAATGCTGTATACAACATGTAACAAGAAAGGATCTTAAAAAAAAAGAGAAAATGTCTAAGATTTACATTATTTAGTTACAGACTAAATTAAAAATAAATTACAAAATCTATTATCAACTACGATTTTTCTTTAAATAATAAAATAAAATCTCGAGAACATTCCAAGACGGACCTCTGCAAGGCATGTATATTTGTAAAGATACTAGAGTTTTGAAATCAGTATTAGATATTAAATCAACGCTGGTGCTAAAAAGGAAAGATCTTTTAATACCTAAGTCAGATATTCGCATCAGACATTGTAGTGCATTTTTTATGTTTACCCAAAGTAATGGAATATATGTATAACGAGCGTATATAAAAATCATACAAATTCATGAAGTGTAAATATAATCCTGTAATTGATAGTATACCTCTGACATTTGTCAACCAGTCCACAGTTCTTCGTCCAAACCTGTCGTCATAAACTGCATCAACATGACTGCTGTCTTCTATCTCATTACACCATTTGTAAATGTCATGTCTTTCATTCCTAAATCTTCCCGTCCATGTCACAGTCAAACGACTGGTATCAATTGTTACCCATGTATAATTTGTACCTACAGCACTTTCTGTAACAATGATTCTTGTACCAGGAACCTTTTCGACAACTGACTGATTATCATATAGGAATACAGATCTTGTTGACTTGTGGTTTCCGGCTCTATCAAAGGCACTTAATATCAAAGAAAACATCCCAGGTGTTGTTAGATTTAGCTCACTCTGAAAGGAAAAAAAACATAAAATTTTCTGAAGACTTTTAGTTTGTTTTAATGTTTCTTGAGAACTTCAAAATTATTTAACACAGAAATACTAGGCTGGTGCCGTCCACCAGCAGTTACCCCGTTGATGGAAACACACATCCTATCACGATTTCCTTGATAGAGGATTACTGCTCACAAGTAAGCTATTAAACCAAGAGTTCCAAGTGGTGAAATTGAAATCACCTCTTCGTAAATTTTTCGGACGCCATAAGGAGTTGGTTGGCCGTTATTGAATATCCGTTTCACAGATGATAGCGATATGTTCCTTATGTCGTAACTACAGTCCTGTCCCTTTTTCCCGAATGTGACCTACCGAATTAGACTTATTACCAGGTTTGAACTAACATGAGCAACTTGAAGGGTGGCACATGTGGAGCATGATCTGCTTACCCTTCCGGAGTACCTGAGATCACCCCTAGTTTTTGGAGGGGTTCGTGTTGCCCAGTCATTAGTTTTCTATGTTGTGTTTTGTTAACTATTGATTGTATGTTGGTCTATTTTTTTCTTTTTTAGCCATGGCGTTGTCAGTTTATTTTCGACTTATAAGTTTGAATATCCCTTTGGTATCTTTCGCCTCTCTTTTAAACACTAGGCTTCGCGCGTTTCGTCTACACAATACTGATCAGTGGCATTCACATCAAAACAGTGTTGTTTTATGTGAAAAAATAAACGTACAGTTTTATCGCTGTTAAGCATAAGTTGTATTTGTTGAGTTTTTTTTCACAACAAGTTAATAGCTTAGTCACTAAACAAAAATGAAGTTATTAAACCTATCAACATAATAATTTTTATGATAAAAATATAGATTAATATTTGATGAGTTTAGACAATTTTAAGAATATTGCTCAACGATTGTATGTTACTTCTATACGAAAGTATAACTATTTAAAATAATTTATTCAACCATGTTTTTCTATTTTTTGTTTAAGATACTAAATATGTATGCAAAAATCTTAAAACAATCTGTTACCTGACTTATTTACTGCCAATTGATCTTAACTGAAATACCATTTACATTAGAGGGATACGAACACGCAATAAAAACCTCATTCAACCCAATAACTAGATTCGAATTTGCCTCTCTATTATGTTAGTACTACGTCAATTATATATTGTTTTCCCGACCATCGGAAGACGAGATTTTGTCAAGCCAAGCAAGTATCTAACTACCTTTTAACGTTATTCAATGAAATACTTATGATTTTCCAATTGTATACATTTCATTCTGAATATAGATCGATACTAACAAAGTCCAATTTATAGTGTCCCAATATTTGCCTTTCAGTTTAATAATAAATTTTACGCCTGGTATCTGTGATGATTTTTTTACACATTGGGTCGATGCCACTTCTAGTGGAGGTTTCGATGGTATCACCAGCCCTGTAGTTAGCACTTCAGTGTTCACATGAATTATCGTTGATATGGTCATAATAAAAAAATAAAACTTACAAAACTTTGGATTTTTCGAAATTCTAAGGATTTTCTACCGCAAAAAGAGATTACCTTAGCTATATTTGGCAAATCTTTCGGAAGATTCATTTTCGTACTTTATTTGGTCATTTTAATTATTTTTATTTGAGCGTCACTGGTGAGTCTTTTGTAGACGAAACGCGCGTCTGGCATACACAATTAACAGCCTGGTATCGATGATGAGTTTATTTCATGTTATTTGTGTATATCTTTTATATGTTTTGCTGCACAAATTTTTAGACTGGTATAATTGTTTCCTATTGCTTAACAGGGACCACATATTTTAAATATAATAGAAATAAGAAGATGTGGTATGGGTTCCAATGAGACAACTCACCATTCAAGTCACAATGTGTATAAAGTAAACAATTATAGGTCAAAGTACGGCCTCTATATAAACGACAACCACTGAACAACCGGTTCCTGACTTAGGACAGGTGAATCCATATTTCTTTTTAGATTTCCATCATATGCATGATTACGATTTCTATGCATGTGACATTTATTTCTAGGTTAAAATTCACCAGTTACGGTCGTGAAGTCATGAAAAGGAAATAAGCATTCTTGGTTTTATATAATAATAACGGTGAATATTATATACACAGTGCAAATAAATTGACTACTTTTTTATACACTTTTTTCATTCTACTACATAACGTTTCTTAATTAGTAGTTATGTGTGGTTGTTATAATAGAACAACACAGGATATTATGTTTGTGTTAATTTCTTTTACTTTATCAACTTATGATGTTGGTCTTTTAGATATGTCTTAATATTGTGTACGCTTTTTAGCGAAAATGCTCTTTTGTTTTTGTCTTAATGTATCAATGGAGGTAGCTTCATTTGAATAGATTGATTATTACTTGAAATTCATTTGCTGATGTTCTATTGGATGACAGTAATTTATTGTCTTCTTTCAGAACATTGCCTTTGGGATGTAGATGAAACACTTCATACTCATATCCTTCTATCCCCGACAAATCATCGTTCCACTGCTTCCAAGAAAACGAAATCATATTCTGGAAAAGATGATATTTACATATTAATGGTATCAGGTAACTAAAATAATGTATTGAAAAAAATATTTAAACAAAGGGAAATACTTTTTCATGTATATCAGTAATACAGATGTGTGTCAAACAAGGGGAGTTTTCCTGTTTATTTTTATCGTATGAAGCTTTTACAATTATATTTTTCATATGCATAATTTTAACATGTTTAATCCATTACCAACCTGATCAGTTACATCCTGCAGTACTTCTATCAGTGGGATAGTGCAATTGAAACCAAAAAGATGGTAGCAAGAATAATAAGGAGTAATATAATCCCACTGTACGGTATAACTTCTTGATATAGTCTTCCCAGTCAAATATGTCGTAAAATAGGTGGATGTTTCCCGGTTTATATATTTGAGGTACCCACCATTACGAACTTCAATTTTAAATACCAATCTACAATATGAGAGATCTTAGTATTAAGGTGTTTTTTGTAAAATGAGCGATGATCCTTTCTGTTTCGCAAATTTTCAGATTACAGTTGATAAACGGTCTTTGAGTTTACAATGCACACTAACCGTTTGAGTGCTGGTCTTGAAAATGAAAGTACGTAACTGAAAAGTTTCTATCCCTCCGAAAGTTTTACGGAAGCCGTCCTGATTACGTTAACAAGTAAGTAATAATTGGATTAAAGCTGACGACGGATATGTTCAAGTTCTGTTGGCTTCAATTCTGTTCTTTTTAATTGATTGAGACATCACGAAATTGTCAGCTATGTTTTATGTTTACAGGTACCACTTGTGGAGCAGGAACTACTTACCATTCCGGAGCATCCTTGGTGTTTGGTTGCGTTCGTGTTGCGCAATCTTATGGTTCCTGTTTTAGTATAGTAATTTAAACAAAATAAGGAGATCGATGTTATATGATTACCAGTTAGACAAACATCCACTAGAAACCAAATAATGTGGATGAAACAGCTAAAGTTCACCGTATTGCCTTAACAATGTGCAAATTATCAAAGAAGAAATTGGTTTTTACTAATTTTTTTTCTCAAAAACGTCATCCTTCCTGTTTTTTGTCATATATACTATATGACATAACACTTTTTATGCACCCTACGCACTTTCTGGTTTTGCCTTCATCGGGAAAGCTCACAACTTAACATTTGAAAGCCAGGGGTGTATAAAAACGTAGAAACATTAGGAGCTGTATAACCAAAAGTCACCTATTAGAGATTTCCAATAAAATGACATACGTGCGTAACTCGACGTACGGACCTAATGGGACTGGTTATTGCCAAGCATTGAATTTGATTAAATACGTCGCTCAAGTTTAAACAAAGTATTCCAAGACTTTTAAAATCAAACACTGGAATTTTCGTCCATATAAAATAATTTTATCATGACGGAAAATGATAGAAATCTTGCATCTTTATTATTCACGTGGTTTTCTAGATTGCCGCCCTTATTTTCACTGACATAAGATCACGTATAAACACACGTATCACATACCTATCAAACGTACTATTTGAGTTATTTTTACTTTGCAGATGAACGCCCCATTATACTTTTTTTCTGTCTTTCTTTATAGTTTATCTATCTTTTTATTATATTTGATGCGGGGAAAATATTTAGAAGGATTTAGAGTTTGTCAGAATCTGCCTCTTTATAAAAGTTGAAAATTGAGATAAAACTATCGCTTCCATTTAATTTCTAAACAAAAGTATTTTTCATTTATTATAAAATGTATTGATAAAAAATCCCTATATATGTTGTTTTTTAGAATTCAGGTGTTTACGATTAGTGATTGTTCTGTATTAATTTGTTTAACGGGAATGCTATCGGAGTTCAAACACAAAAGACATTTCCAGGCAATTTCTTTTTATATTCCTTGAAGTAAATTAACTAAGAGTATTTTATCCATTTTATCGATAAACAATTAAAAGGGGGTCACCGAATTCATGTTTCTGAATAAATCATTAACGGAAATGTGTAAGGTAAGTAACATTGAACAACATAATATAATAAGATTTCGTTTCCAGATGCGGATCCAGGATTTTGAAAAGGGGTGGGGGATATAGGCAACGTTAGAAGTGGAACAAAAAATAGAAGTATTAATAGATGTAGGCCCATATATATAAGTGTTCGTTGCATATGTATTTTACATATGCATATTTAGGACGAGAAGATGAATATGAACCAGACTTTGTATTATATCGCAGGAAGTCCTTTTAGACATGTCATCCTACCGGGACACATGATTTTGATCCCGGACCGACCAATCTTTGCTCTAACTCCTAAATATTGCGTGCTTGGCAGAGAGGCAGCCAATTTTCGATTTGAATTGGGCGAGGGTCGAGCCAAAGACTTCCCGCACTCGAGCAGTGTTGTAGCTTTCATTGACGCAATAAGGCAATCGCCTCACCAAATGTTTGACCATTAAAAAAGAGAGATAAAGAGAATTATATACCATGTACGTCATAGTATAAAGTATACTGAGTGACGATGGTTCAAAACGTTGACTGCTTTACTCTTGACTCACTCATTCCTCATTATTAACGTCTTGAAAACTTTCATTCATAAAATGAACAAGGTAGATGCAAATATGTTTTTTAAGTAACAGACAAAGTATACCTCGCAAAAACTGATTCAAACAAGAGGTTATAACTGTGAAACTGATATGATGCTTGATTTTTTTCTGACAACGAACTTGTTACTTTTGGTGGACAAAGTATTCAACAGACACTTGGCATTCCTACATTTTATGTAGTACTCTTCTACCTTGGTTAATATCAACAAGACTTCATAGTTCACCCAGTTATTATCATCCATACATTTTGACAAAAGCTTAATGTATAAAGTTGAAAGACATAGTGGATCTTAAACCTAAAATCCCCAAATCTATACAAAAGCATTTTAGAGGATGTCATACATATAATTTTGTCAATTATTTTTGTTTTGATCAGGACCTGTCTGTAACTTAATACTGAGAATTAAACCTTTAACCAGCAGTTTCATTGAAATATATTGATTTAATGCGCACAAGAAATATTATTTCATGATAAAATTCCACAAATCAGGATTTTTCATAGACAAGATCTTTTTGCCAGTGTGTGACCTATCAAGAGTATGTTCACCTACACCTATTTTGCGATTCATATTTTCAATAAACCGTCCACTCCCTATTGGCATTGACGTCTTTTCGCCAAGGTGAGGCTTGGACTGCCTAGATTCAAATCATTTGCCTCACAAGAAATAAAATTCAAGTTACGCTACTGTCGATTGATTGATAGTTAGTTGCTTAACGTCCAGTGGCAAATATTTCATGCTTAGTTAACGTGTATACGTAGAGAGCATGCCATTCTCTCTACAAGAGGCATCGGATTTAACATCCCCACTCTGACCGGACGGGGCTGCGTACTTGTACATCCCTCACAACCAAACGGACTCCCCAGTTTGGCAATGGTTTAACTGCCGATCGGAAAAAGACCAATAGTTACCATATTTCTATTCCCCCGATCACCTTTGAAGGGTTACTATCGAGGCGAGCGCGCGACCAAAGAGACAGCTATGAACACATTTGCAACAAGAATGTGTGGCCTTAAGACACCGTACCCCTTCACACGATCATATTTCCATGTTCAGTGCACCACTTAATCCGGGTCAAACTCTTATTTGGTATATAATTTCAAACGTTTTATATTTTGAACAGAACGGAAGAGTGGACAGATGCACAGACTAGTAAATATAATACCCCCTTGCTATCACTGACCTTTGACAAAAGTATCTTGAAATAAATTATAGAAGGATGCTAAAAAAAAAGAAGAAGAAGAACTAGTCGTGTACACCTTTTATTTTCCGGCGTGTTTGAAACTCTTGTTTTAATCTTAAAACTTTCAAATAAAAAATGAGATCATGATCTCGCTTCAGGTTCCATTATTTTTATTTTTTCAAACTTAATTTTGATTTAGTAGCTTTGAGAGATAAACATATGGGTCAAGTGAAATGACGAAGTAATGATCGGTGCATTTGATTACCGGTAACTGAATTAATTATTCCCTTTAAAGGTTGTTGTCAATGAAATCATCCCAAATTTAATAACGAAATATGTAAAGAATTAAAATAGTAGTTTGTGCTAATTTTTAAATAGCATCTATTCCAACAAAGTATGTGTATTCAACGAGCCAAAAATTCATGCAGTCTATGCTCCCCTCCGTCATCCTTCAATGCAATAGGCCGAGATACGGTCAGATAGGTTGGTTATGTCGAGTAATGTCATTTTATTGGAAATCTCTATTAAGAATAGCCAAATTCAGAGTTTAGAAATGTATGTTATAAATCATGTTAGTTCCGAGGCACATGCTTCTGAACTGCTGACATCATCGAGTACTTACAGTCAACCAGCAGCGTTAACGGCTCAGAGCCAGAAATTGAAATTACATTGCAATGGATAAATGGCATGCGTCCGAAGTGCTTTTCTGGATTTACCTGTATCAGGAACGTTCAAACCTACACATTTGAATGTCAGTGATGTAAAAATACATTAAAACGTTATCAAAATTTTTTACCTATCCATTCAATTATAACTGCAATAAGAATTGCATAGCCGAAAAATATCAGTTTCCCAGTCAATTGTGATATAAGAGTTTAAGGTGTCAGTGCATATGTTTGCAATATTTACCAAAATTTAAACCATTTAATAAAGGTATTGAAAATAAAGTTTACCTGTCACTGTGACTAAATGTTATCATTGAAATAACGCTGTTATTCGCTCGAGTTCTGGAACATATGTAATTATTTCTAATGGGGAAATCTTCTGTAGCAGGGCAGCTGTATGTTTCAACAGTGCTATTTTCAGCTTTAACATGTAAAGAAATAACATATTTGACTTTTTCCAAATAAACGAATACATTTAATTCACAAGAGAATAAACATATAAAATGACGCTAAGATTAGAGTGATAACAACATGAAATTGATAATGCAAGTACTATCAGTAAATATATTCTTATAATTACAGATTTCCTCTAACTATCTGATTAACATCCGGTTAGGTTTAAAGCATAAAAATGAAACTTTTAATTTGAACGGTCAAGCTAACAAAATAGAAATTGCGCCCTTAATTGTACACTAAGAAAGGGAATATTGACCAGCCAAGCTTACAAAATATAAACATAGCTCTTTATTATTAAAGTTTAACTTAAAGCAACATAAACGTGAAGCTTTTTATTAGGACAGTCAAGCTTGCAGCATATAAATGGCGCTCTCTATTAGGTATTGAACAGTAAAACTTACAAAAAATAAAGGAGTTCTTTTAAATGTATTATAGAATGTGAAAAGGATACATTGAACTTTTTTATAATGTGAACAAAAGGAAATATGGGTTATATGTCTTACAACGCAAATCAAAGACACAAGATGTCATTAGCAGGCTTATGATCTAAA